CAGTTAGGATATTTCATGATTTAACATAATCTAATTAATATTTATAGTCACAACTGTCCTCTATATGTAACTGTTGTGTAGTTTGTTTTTGTTGATGTTATTGTTTCATTTTTACAGTACCTAATAATGACACACTGATCATGAGCTTCTCTCTTCATATGAGAATATGCATTGTCTGCCACAGCAAAGATGTGAGGAGGAAGATCACCTAATTTCCTATTCTTGTACTTCTTAACATGATCAGCATCATATATAGAGTAAAGCTGATATGGATTAACAGCAACTAAAATGGATCCAGTGAAGGTCTGAAAAGTAACAACATGCAGGTCATAGGTCATTACACCTTGAAAAATTGAAGTTGTAACATCAGTACAGTAACATGACTGTTCATGGAAAGATAGTATCCTATGGCAATTGTGTTATTGGTAGAAATATTTTAACAGAATAAATTTAATTAAAGCAGGGCATGTAGTACAATATGTGTGCAGTACTACTCAAAAGTATGTCGACAGTCCCTCAAAACTTAATCCTCAATCCTTAATTCTTGATCCTTGATTCTCATACTCAATTCTCACTCCTCATTTCTTAAACCTGGATTCCTGATCTTTGACTCCTCAATTCTCAAAAAGTTTGAGGATGGAGGTTTGAGTTGAGTTTTGAGACATTTGAGTCTGGGTTCTGCACATTTATTTAAATGACCAGGTGGTAACTTAATCAAGAAGATCTGTCAACTAAAATTGATGATGCTCTTGAAATACCTTTAAATGTCACAACAAAAATTCCTTTTAACAGACATTGTATTCCTGTGATCAATATGAATTGAAGCTAAGTTGACTTACATAAATCTGGTGATTGTAGTATCTAATGAAAAGGTTGTGAAGGATTCCTGCCTCATTAAGATCTCCAAGTTGTATCTATAGTTCATAAGTGGAGTAAGGAAATTAAGACAAAACTCAGCTGCATAATTAATTGACTGATTTGACAGCTACAACTGTACAAATTGTGCAACCTTACACATGCTTTAACTGTTACAATGAAAGTATTCAAAGGTGACACCCAGAAATATTTTGTTCTGTCAAATCCAGCCCTCAGAAGTAGAAAAAGAGCCCTTCCCTTACACAGCTATGTAGAGGTTTTTTGAAAGGGTTTATTTACATGGGAGTTGACAAGCACAAAAAATGTTTCAAAATAAGTTAGTGGAGGGTTTATCAAAATTTGTGTCTCAGTTTCTGAGTTTCAAATGAACTTCAGACTCATGTAATAAACTGGATTCATATCATAATTTGGAACACAACCAAAGTCAAAGATTAGAACACTTACAGATTATCTCAATATTGATGGAGGACCACATCTTATATGTATATTGTCTTTTGAACTAGTTAAATGAAAAAATTGTACATACCATGTCATCAACTCCATTTACACTTGTTGGATGCATAATTCTAAGTTTGTTAGCCAATGAAGATTGGATCCAATGCTCCTAAAGCAGATACAAATAATATTACTGGTCAATTTGATTGGTGTGTATGGCATCTGTGAGGAATCCTGGAAAATGTGTAAAATAACATGAGATATTCTTAAGTTTAGTTATTTTGCTACAACATAGCCTGTTAAACAAAGGAACAAACAGCAAGAAATAAGATTCCTTAAATGTTATAAAACCAGTTAATCACATCAACATGAAATTTGACAAGAAACTGAGTAGATCTTGATTTGAGTGTCTCTTCACAGAAAGAGATATAAGCAATGGAGTACAATTTTTAATATCACTTGACAACTGAACAGGTCCATGGGGACAATTGCCAGGGTTAAATACCTTTCCTTCATCATCAACAACTTGAATCTGCCCTGAGTCAGCCAATTTGACCAGTGCTCCAATGGGCACATCAAACTCTCCTCCACCAGTATTGTCCAGCCAGACATGTTCACCCTGTAGACATGAAAGAGAGCATGCCTCAACTCATCTCTGTGGTAAAAAAGGTAACCTATCAGTGAATAAATCCACCTGGAAACTGCTGCAAAGGACAGTCATGATATATTGTACCAATATGTTTCCAGATCTATACCATAATGTAGCAGTACTGGTATCTGGATGAAATACAAGTTATGAACATTATTGCTGAAAATCATTATTAACATGGTATGAAGATCAAATTTTTCAGCCCTCTACGTAAATTAAAAGTTTTTGTGCTGAGCTCCCATCCAGTTTTGACAGGTCCACAACCATAAAAAAGGAATGTTCTTATCAATGCTAACATTCCCTAATTAGGACAAGAAGCTTGCTTAAAGATGCTTCCATAGATATGAATACATATACATAAAATTTTTCTCCCTTAGTTTCTATGGTCATCAGGATTATTTTTTTGGTTCGGATGTAGGAAGCTAAGTTTAAAATTAATTCAAATCGGGCATGAAACAGGAATGTTGTACATATTGGCACAACACTCATATTTTGAAATTGGTTTTATTATGATCTACAGTACATTTATACTACAAATTGAACACAAACTCCCCATTCCCATCCATTTCTTTACTATATGGGTGTCTGAATTCCAAATATTTAAAAATAGTAGGAAGGTACCTCCTCTTTTTGGAAATATTTTTATTTCCCATATAAAAATTTGTGTTTTCCAAGAAAGACATAATAATATCCTAGTCCGCAATTATATGTTACAAGGAATACAATTAATTTCCAAGTCTCCCTGTCTCCCTGCAAATCATTAATGATAATTGAGGTGATGAAAATATGTGTCTTTACGTCAATAATATTGACCAACAACAACATTCACTGTCACCTGAGTTTTGAGGGAAATAAAAATGAAAAGCAACTCGCTGATATAGCATGAGGTGAGAATGTAACAATGATCAAACTTCCATACGTCACAACTACTAATCATAAATTGTTTATTTAGGATTCCATTTTGCTGGGAATCGACAACGCTTACACAATTCAGAATGATTACAAAGCATATTATATCATTCGCACGATCTTCTCATGCAAACCAATTAATCGACCGGGAGGTTAAGCCAAGACAATGCGACTTCATATTACTGAGTGCATTAAATTAGTGGTGTTATCATGCACTAGTAACAGGGAGATTATTCGAGCACTACGAGGTTACTGATACCAAGATAATAAAAAAAATTCCTTTTGTATTCAGGCAGCATGTTATAAAATATAGAAAACGAGGAGTACGCGAAAAGGATGCGATAAAATATTAATCTAGCTGAGATGTCGAGGTTGTTTTATTTATGGTTCCTCCTTATATTGTACAGCTTTAGACCCAAAATAAATATTCATAACTAACTCACTGTGTTCAGCTTAATGCAAGGATGGTTTCAGACACACTTTATCACAAATGAATGTTTTCATCAAGTTGTTAAAAACATATCTCGAGTCTTGTTTAAAAAAGTTTCTCCAAATAGGTGTTAAATCGTTCGATTTTGTTCGTCTCAGTACACTCCAGCCTATATCAAACAGATATTTTTCTTCGTTGGAGCAATAAATTGTCCGCAGCTATGAAGAATTACTACCGAAAGTTTAGTTCGTTCATATGACGTCGTCGATGTTATTAAAAAAAATACAAATTTCCCTCTCCTTTTCACCTAGAGCTTTAGTGTCAACGAGATGTAAGGTTGACATTTTTGTAACGAATGAACGCACTGATGATTAGAAACGTTGCGTGCACTTCCGATTTCATATTTTTCGAAAGAAATAAGAATAAAAAAATCGTACACCTCTTTTTGCATTATTCTTTCCTACCTTGGAGACGATCACCATTGTAAGCTTTCAAGATACAACCAACAAGGCTTGATGAGATAGCAAGATGCAATCAATCTGCAAACATATATTAACTGTCAGAAGCATCGATCGAAATAAATATGGCTGGTCCTAAAATACAGGAAAGTAATACAACTACTGTTTTAAACTTTAGTAAACACATCTATTTACAGATTGTTCGAGATTGTTGGTGTTTGATAAAAGCGGAGCCCAAAAGAACTTTAATTCAATATTAGGACACTTACCGGCATTAGAGACACGTCGCTTGGGAAGCAACCATGTATTCCATTAAGAATGTACAAACATGAAAAATCAAAGAATCATTTCAATAATCAATCTCTTCCTTCTAATCCAGAGGTTTGACAGTAATATTCTATAAGCGAAAATAATTGTGTTTGTATTCAAGCAAAGTTATTGTTTGGATCAGACCTGCAGTGCCCCAGCCGGGCTGTGTTGTAACCACATGCAAACGAGGCTAATAATATTTTCCTTCCGTTAGGATATAAGTGCAAGGCGGGAAATTATGTTCCAATCTAACAGCCAGTATCCCGGAAGCTCTTCCCTGGGCCCCCTTATCTTGGGGGGAAAAGAAATAGGACACCCTTAACCGGCAAGACTGGGGGAATGATTGTAATGTTAGAGGAATCAAAAGAACTGACTAGTCTGGCTTTTAGAGCCTTCGTTATCATTGTCCAGCAGAACACACTTTCGACAAAAATGGTGAGTGTATCTGCCATGTAGAAGTAAATCATGAGACCAGTTAGTCGCTACTCTCGCATTAACTGCTCAAATAAGAATTTAGGAACAATTATAGAAGGAAGATTTATAAAAAAGGGAAGCTAAAGGTTACCTGCCCATTCACCATGGCGCGAGCGAGTTTGTAAAAGGTGCAAGGCTTTCTTTACTGCGCTGTGAGAAATGAGATGGAGGAAGAGATAGAAAAAGCGACGGGCATATCATGAAATGCTCTATGACGTAGTTAAGTCCGGCCGGACGCGAAAGTTACAATCCATCAAAGATTTGGTTTTTCAAAACAACAAAACCATTTTTAGCCACCTTAACTGACATTGGATAGCTGGATAGGAAAGCTTTCGAATGCGACGCTGATCCGAAAGCGACGAAACCGGACATATAGAAAAGCATTTTTCCCTGTGTAGAAGTGAAGAGGTTACCTCTTTGACAACGACAGAAAACAACACCTTGTCAACCAAAGACTCCATTTACATGTACATGACTTTAATGGGAAATTATAATATCGCAAAGATGTTTTGCATCTTATCGTAATACAGCAATACAAACGAATTAATGTAATTGCTGTTATTATTTTGTCTCACATTTCAAAGCAGGGTGGGACGAATTGTGATTCAAACGGCATCTAAATGATAAGAGGACCCGTGTAGAGATATCAATAGATATGGAATGGTATCTCTCTTTTTTAAAAAAAATACATCTCTTTTTCTCGGTGAAAAATCTAACAGGAAATATGCTGCATTACAATAATTACTGGTTGCAATCCTAAAGGATTTTGTCGTATCCACCTGTTTCAATGCGGAGTTAGTTTTTTCCCTATTGTAAATTTTACAAGTGCTTTCAAAAGTACTTCAAACAATTTGATTTAGGTATAGAAACTCCCAAATAAACTTAGCTGTCATATTTACTCTTATTTAATAGCCTATCATTCGCAGGTTTGATAAAACGTTCTAATTATCTCCAGTTCCTTGTTTCAGAGATTTCAACCTAAGAAACCCGCCCCTTATGAAATCCTCTTGTAGCAACAACGTGAGTCAGCGTCCTCGACGTGGTAGATAATTTCTCCAGTACGCCCAGGTAGGACAATTGCACACCTTCGGTAAGGTCCTCCTACATTGTGCCAGCCATTGATAAAATCAAGATGCTTAGTTTACTATCACAAAAGTCTAGCTCCTAAAATTTCGTTTTCCAATAATATGGCGATGCGTTCGCTAAGAATCTACCTTATTGCGTAGCGATAATATAGATACATTTCCTTGCTAATTGTCCCATATCCGATTACATCCCGGCAGCAAACAATGGAGTATAGCACTGCATGATGCAGATCAGTAACTGGTAACCATAGACGGAATGACGTGACGATCGGCTGTGATATAATCCAGTCAGATAATTAGTCATCTCCGCCAGCGGAACTTGGAGTTTTAAAATATAGCAAGAAATGATTGATGAGGTTATTCATTGTATCAGCTTGCACACTCCTGAAAGAGAAGGTCTGGGAACGAATTGTGTTCAGGACCAAAACGGGATCCAGATACATTCCTTTCCTGAATACAAAACAAAAAGTTAACGTGAGTCATCCAATAGTTTATTATTGAGAAAGCAACATTTTCATGTACATGTAACCTTTTCCAGCTGTTTGGCATACGTTAGTCAGACAGTCATTCAGACAGTGAGTCAGTCAGTAAGTCTATTAGACAGTTGTTTCTTCGGTCAGTCAGACAGCTGGTCAAACAGTCAACTGTCCAACTTTTCACACCTCAACGCCGACAAATCGAGATCTTAAGCATTTTGGCGATAATTCGAAACCAAGTCTCAACCCTGCTAAACGACAAACTAGCCAGCTACTAGAACAACCTTACCTAAAAGTTGTCCTGTACTTAAAACCTAGTTCAACAGATTAATCCAAAATGCCAAAGTTTCGAATTTGGTTTGCTTAAATTTAACTTTTTCTAGCAAAAATTAGTGCAAGGTGTTTTCATATCAAGGATCTCATTTAAAAGGACTTTTCCTTTTCTAAATAGTAATAGCAGAGGGTTTGAGCTCTCACGTTAAAGCATAAGACTTCTGTACGTAATAAGTGCTGAATCTCAATGTGTGTAACAAAGAGATCCCTTCTGTGTTTGAATCCACTAAGCATTCTACAGACCTTAGACTGGTCGCTTTCTTGATTTGAGAGTATCCCATAATAAGTAAGGGAGGACTGTCAGGAGTTTCAGATGACAAAACTTGAAATCTTTTTGAATTGAAGGCGATTTTGACGGCGACTTTTGGAAGTTTTGGCCCCGATGACACAAATCCATCGAAAATTCTTGAGAAATCTCTGAACCAATTGCTGGCTGCATAACGTACGATGTCTTGTTGCACAACCTCTATATTAGATCTCTCTTGAACGCGGGAACTCTTCACAACGATAAAAATAAAGAGCAATTTTTATTTTGAATTTTTATGTTTATCACAATATCCACCATGACATCTAAAATTACTTTCCCTTTCCCTTTCCCTACAACATTCTTCGTTTTATGAACTTTAAACGATAATGTTATCTTTTATTACATCCATTTTAAAATCATTGGCAATCCTTGCAATCTTATCAGTGTGATTTACAAACGAATCGGATCTAATTTTAATTGCTCTAAATCGCATCCTTTTCCCAGCCAATAAGAAAGCAGCACTAAATCGAAACAACCAATCAGATTTCAAGGCCCATTTATAGTAACCGTAAAGAAGCCACAATAATCTTTAAAACCTTTTCCCCTGAAAACCTTTCTTCTTCTTTTTCTTCTTCTTCATCCATTTCCATTAAATTTACAATCCTTGTCATCAAAGTAATGCTCACGATTGAACTCCAAATCAATCTACAAGAACACACATGTATTGTGAACAGGAAACTTACCGCATAAAAAGCTGACTTGACGTTACTGACAAGTTCGTCCTCTGAACTATTAGCAAGTACAAATGGCGGAAAAGAAGCTTGGATAACCTCACGGAGTAAGTTTTCTTGTAATTCGGGACCATTCTCTATATAGTACCGTTTAGCCACAATTTTAATCATTTCCTGTTGCTGCAATTAAGAATGAAATAAGATCGGCCCTACAATTCACCAGCTATCTCAAAACGGTTTGTCGTTCGTACGAGTTTTGCTGCCGTAGGGGCATTGTGGCGGGTGTCCTGTGAACCTGCGCCGCATACGAGCGGAATAGTAGGGTTGACGACCGGCGATGAGTAACCTCCTCCTCGTAATAAATAGAACAAAAAAACCGTTTCGAAAACATCTCGGAAAGCCTCAGCCAAAAAAGAAAAGGAGGGATTCGGATTATGTTCATATCAGCAATGAGTACTCAGACATCCTTTGCCCGTTTGGTTCTTACCTCACAGATGTACTCCTCAGCACGGATCCCTCCGACAATCTGATGGTAGATCAGATTAGTGGCCACTTTGTCAATGCTGATATTTTCCGTGGGTGCAAATAAATCTTTTCGAAAGAATAAGTGCCAAGCACCAGACTCATTTAGAGTCTTAGAGCATGCATACTGCTCAGCTAAGGAGACGGCATCTAAAACACTCTCATTTCCACAGCCCCAGTTGGCAACCTGCGACAAAAAATAACAATCAACGGTGATGAACTACGTTTACACTTTCGATCAGGTCCCAATAGCATTTGATCGTAGACCTCGTCAACCTGTCTACAGCCGTTTTGTTTTGTTTTGTTCTGTTTCTTTTGGTTTTTTGAGCGACGAAGCGCGATTCCCGCTTGCGACACTGAGTGTTAGGCGTGATGGTGACTACTGAGCGGGCAGAAGGACAAATGATGTCCGTGGACATTCTTGGAAAAAAGACGCCTTTCAGGATTCTACCCACGTCATAACCTTACCTTAAACCTTGCCTTAAACACAAATGACTTGATCAATGTAATTTACAGTGTTTAAGATGTCTCGTTTTTACCAAAAACTTCTTAGCACTGGTCTAATCTATGATACCCGGCGAACCTAAAACTGTGAAGAAATGTGAAGGCCACTGTTAAGAAGCCTCGTTACGGCGTCTAACCTGATTCAATGCTTCAATGAAAACGGAAAATCCAAAGATGTCCTTCAGCCCCAGTTCCTCTTTGATAAGCTGGCACAGTTCAGCGCAAGTTGTGGCAGGATCCACTTCAAATACCTTCCTTGTTCCATCCATGAATATTACTGGCAGAGTAAGGGATGACTGCGATTTGACGGCCTGTGAATTAGATACCGACATTCCGTAAACTTCCACATCTTAGGAACTAATCCATTAGTTTCGGTGTGTCACCATAGCCCACAGGTTGGAATGTATTTAGGGTGCAGGAGGTTGTAAAATCTCGGCAGATATGAAAGTGATGAAACTTTCATTTAGCGGATACTCCCAAGAGGTTAAACATACTAAACCGACCATTACCCTTCTGCTAACTTGTAAATGACATTTTAATAAACTGAACAAATCTGTTAATCGTTTAAGATATCCTTAAATACGAAAAATTCAAAGGTAATTTTCTTGGAGTGTTCATTTGATAGGGGTGTCCACAAAATATTGCGATACATTACGAGCCATGCAGTAAAACAATAAAAACGGAAAGGAATTCACCGTCTTGATCACTCACCTCCAATTCAACAATTGTAGAAGGCTGTGTTCTTGAACCTATTTCAAGAGTTCTCTGAAGAATCGAGTAGCAATATTCTCCAAATTTACCGGGGCCTTGTTTTAGAAAGTTTCTGAGGTAATTCAGCAGCTAACGACGAAAAAATGATTAATTTAGTTTGCAGCAGGCGGAGGAAAATACAGAAAAAGCGATTACAGTGTCAAGACAGCACCTCATCCGAAGGCGGGAAAACGCCAACACAAAGGGCCAATAGAATCCATCCTCGGGTATAGCTTGTTGGAGAACCATTGTTTATTAGTTGGCGGCAAATTTGGCAGTAGATTTCATCCCTGTAATTAGATTAAAATGATAAGGATGACAAGCAGCAAAAAGCGAAAACAGATTTGCGTCTTTCTTGCTTTCCTTTCTTAAACCGGGGATACACATGACAGGGTCTCACTGATAAGTCTACCGAAGCAGAAAAGAGTGAAAAATGGGGTACTTCTTATTCAGTAGGAAATAAAAATCGTTTAGTATGGCCCAACCCAATTAAAGTAAAATAGTTTCCTTTTAGTTTTTCAGCTCTGAATGTTGTGGTGACCATCGATTGAGCTGGAATTTTCTTGCAAGTCAACATTTAGGAAAATAAACAAAAAGACGAGAAAATCAACAAAAAAACAAAGAAAAACGCCTCCTCTACATATTGCTCACCTTAAAGTCTGTCTACGTATTCCAAAGCTGGTGATAAACTGTATTTTCTCAACGTTTGTTGTGGGACGATTCATCATGATTAAAGGTGGAATGTCGTGAGATGTAAAAGACATCTGTTGGGTCTAAAAAATATGTATCAACATGATCTTAAGAATAAATCCAGATCGAAAAACTTAAAAAATCGGACAAGGCAATGAGTAGCTATTGGGAAACATAACAGGTCGCACTCAGCCACTACAAGTTTTTTGAATGAATACGTAGCTTGCAATTCTTTGGAAACTATTGCAACCAATCCTTTATTGACCAAGCTTGTTCGATGGTAGTCAAGCACATTTATTGTAACAAGTTCTCCAGCCATCGCTAGCTTTTTCGAATCAATGATTTCTGTGGGTATCGGGAACAATCCCCTTCACACCCGTTGAAAACAATCCATTGCCATCCTGTCAATCATATTGGTACATTGAGTGGGAAGCAGGGGGTTTCAACAAAACAAATTAAGATAATGGGGAGTGTAGAGTCCTTTCCCTGGTGAAGTATAACCAAGAGATTATAAACTGTTTATATTCTCTTGGCATAACTGAGTGCTTGCTCCTTTTCACCTTCTCAGAGACAACCTTCCTCTTGAACGTGGTTCCTGATGCATAGGCTTTGTTAATTGGCTGTGGCGTCTCTTTTACTTCTGAAACCTTTAAAAAAAGATGAGGTATTTCTTTTCTGCATATTATTTTACTGCTACTTTATAAGGGAGTATTGTGATACGGTACGAAAGAAATAAAATGTGCATTACAGCAACAAGCAAGCTTTAATTCGCGACAAATAAATACCATAATGTCTTCTTCGTCGAATTTTGGTTCTCCCATATCCCTCATGAATCGCAATATGGCGACAGAAATTGCACAGGACGCCTTTAAAGTAAACAGGAAATAATAGTACGTCATCAAATAAACCATGGATAAACGAAAAGATTATGTGAAAATATCCAGTTTTATCACTTATATATGTGACCTTAATTTTCATCTGATTGATTTAGTTTTAATATCCTGACTGCAGCAAAATTTTCCGAAATGTGTTGACCAGCTGTGGAATTTCATACTACCATTTCTTACATTCGAGCCGAAGTCATTTGATTAATTCCAGAAAATTCTGATAACTGTACGCAACTCAACCAGTTTACTCCTCGGGCTAGAAACGTATCTCACGGTCACAACTGTGATATCTACTGGGTGCCATTTTAAAATGGAATCGCTATTGTTATTTTAACACATTTATATTCTGCCTAATGATCGATTAGATCAAAATGGTACAAGTGATTGATATGCATTACAAGTAGAAATTGTTACCTTCCTGTCGTCGATATTGTTGCAGTGTAAAAGAGATGACGTAAGAGGTACTCTTGAGAACTGGCATATTTCTTCATTTTGAAAATTGCTTTTGGCAAAACTTAGAAAATCACAGCTTGACAAATCATCAGGTTCCTGCATTTTCTGTTTACCACAACAAATAAAAGAAAACAAAGACTGCGTTGTAAAACTGACGTCATTGGAATGGACTGATACAATTTACAAAATCAATCAATTGGAGAGAGCAAGCTAGCTGTAAATGTTATCATAAGTCTTAGGAAAGGCCTGAGCACAAGACTAATGGACACTGATTATTTCTGACCTGTCTGTGAGGTTCCATCCTGTTTGGTCCTGTTGTTGAGGTGTGGAAAAAGATACGTGTCTCACATTTTAACCAACACCTGAAAAAATTAGTTAATAAACGAACCAAAAAACTAATTTAAAAATCTTCGACATCTGATTCGTCAATTCCTATAAACGTTTATAGAAAAAAAAAGTGTTTGCGAATCTTTTTAAACTAAACCTTGCTTGTTATGCTTCATTTGCTATAAACAAAATGGCTGCTCTTTAATCGCTGCTCCTGTATTGGAACTGTTTGGCCATTTAACCAAACGACTTGGAGCTTTTGTTTCATTTAAGGCGAAGGTCGTTATTTGAGATGACTCAAAGGCGACTAAGCTGAGTTAAAACAATCAGAGAATACATCTGCGTGTAATAAACAACGAGTTAAAATTCTTCAGGAATTCTCTATGCTATAATTTTGTATGTAATAATTTCACAAATAATTCTTTAATTCCGCTACATTACCGTGTGACTAAGTTATCTTACCTGGATAAACGACTTTACTTCCTTTTCTACTCTTTGGTTGAAGTTGATACTTCTGTAAAGTTCAACTTCACATCAGCGACATAAGCATGTTATTGTGACAATCGGGGTTTGAGGTGTGAGCCTGTTCAGAATCACAAAGAATAAAATGCTTTAGCGGTCATGCAGAACAGAACATTCCGGAATAAATTTGGAGCCGTCACACGCTAATTAAAGAACAATTCACTCTTAAAAGAAATAACAAAACCCATTTCTACTGCACTTACTTGATTCTTGAGACAGACATTTCTGAGACGGCACTGTATACCAGGAATGCCACAGCAATTCCAGACCCTCCCGGGCCAATGTGTGAGAATAACACAGTAATTCATTTCCAGCGCTGACTCCGAAGGCGGCCACCCCAGGATGTGGCTCACCCACCCCCCAAATATTAAAAAATGCAAATATTCATTGCATTCCATTCACAAATAACAAACTGACCAAGAGAAACACTCCAATAATAATTGGGTGAACAGACGTTAGCAAAAAAGCATGTTTCTTTCTATTTTGATTTAATTCTCAACCAATTTGATCATATTCGCCTTCTAACTATGACCCTTTTGTGACCCTTTTGTGTATTGGTCCAAACACCAGCTTTTAAAACTGGTCCACTATTTTTGTAACTGATTCCGCATTGCATACAAAATGTACATTATTCACTCTGCTCAGTACTTAATGATCAAAGATAGCTATTCGCGAATTATTACTGCTGCCCTTTAAAGAAATTTCCATAGATCAAAATATCAGTGACATCATTCCCGAAAAAATGGCTGGCTAACATTGTTCAAAATATCATTGGCGTCATTTGCGAAAAATGAACGGCTAATGACGTGTGAAGGAAAGAAAACAGCAGAGAGATAAAAGGAAAGAAATAAAAAGCTTGGAAGAAAAAACTAAATAAAGAAAAGAAAGTAAGAAAGGAAAGAAGGAAGGACGAAAGAAGGGTAGAAAGAGGGAAAGGAGAATATAAGAAATCTAGAGGTCTTAACCGCTTTGTCAGTAGGAAACAGAGAAGTTAGAATTGACTTTTTAATATCTTTCTCCATTTTTTATTAACTCTCCTTTCATATCAGACAAGGAATTTTCTCTCCTGTTACTTAAACGTAGAATTCCGTCAACGAACCCTGAATACCAGGCGCTCTTCGATTAGTTGAAAATCTCACAGGTCAACTCAACTCCCATCTTAAAAATTCACATTTTTTTCACTGATTGTATATTTTGGAATCAAATTTGTCACAAGATTAACAAGCTGTTTTATTGGGCACGGGTGGAGGCTTATCTACACAACGGTAGGTCATATGTGGTCTTCATATTTAGAATAACCTGTAGAAATTATGTTTAATTAACGATTTGGAGGGCCTTTGGGGGAGGAATTCATTAATAGCTAAGTTTCTAAACTTACAGGCGACAGTGCAAACTACATGTGTCAAGATACAAAATAACACACAGGTATGTTTACAACTCAATCTTTAGCCAACCAATAAAGAACTCAGCCATGTAATTAATTTGATGCAAAGTGTCAAATTTGATTTTGATTATTGTATCCGTAATTTGTCGATCCATTAGCTCTGTGGTTCATCTGTAGTTCATGATTTAAAGTTGATTTGGTTTATATCGATGGCAGTTCAGCTGACGCATTTGTATTTTGTGTGGGTTTTTCTAGTAGGCTTGCAGTCGTCATCAACACAGAAATCAGGTGAGAAGACTGATTTTTGCCATCAACCTAAGGATTCAAACGCTTTCTCTTTTTGCTGAGTCTGATCATAGTGCTCGTCAGTATTGCACGTCACTTTTCCATTTCTTGAGCAACTGTTTATATTCCCCTTAATTTGACCTCAGTAGGTGGTAATAATGAATACAAATGTCGCAAAGGAACCTAGTAAGAGCTGATAACCGTAATTCCATGTAAAATTACATGTTTTGTTGGCTTAACAAGCTGGTGTCCACCCCTCTAATCAAACCGAGGACTAACTAATGTTTAGTTCGAAAAGTAAAAAGCTGCACTATTTAAAAGTGGTTTCTTGGAATTAGTGATTTTTTGGAATTACTTTCACAAAATATGCTATTGTAAAAAATCGTTCTGAGTCGTATGTAACGTCCACCTGTAAAACCTGCCAACAAATCAAACAAGTTCAAGAATACTTTACGTTTTGCAAGTTGTTTTTCATTTCAAACGTAGCATTTATTTGACGAAAATTTCATGGTCCACTAAGGCTAATGACATGAAGATAATAATGAGAACAGCATTGTTGGTCATGTTTTGTGGTCAGCTTTAAGAGTACCATCAATAATTTATAAGACGAGGATTTCTAGGTATCAATTCAGTTGTTAGGTGCCAAATTAAACGTATTTCCTGTGTAATCCTCCGGATAAGTGTGTCTAATTTTAGAAACTTTTATACTTTGATTATCAAACCTAACAACTCTTTCGTCCTATCCCTGTCGCCACTTTCTTGTTACTTAGTCGCTCTCCATATACAGGTGTCATTGTTTTGTTCGGTCATTGTTCAAATCTTACGGCCGTTGTCGTTGTCGTCATTGTTTACTGGTTTCACGAATTCTGAAGAGACTTTTGCTATTTTGTTTATCCGTTTTAAGACTAATGTTGACTGAAGCGTGCCTTTAATTGACATATCGAGTTCCCAAAGTTTCCGTCTCTTCAAAATTTTACCCCTCCCATTTTGATTTCATCTGAGTAGAGAGACGTTTTTTGGACAAAAAATTCGAATAGGAGAAAGGTTTAGTGGTGAATTTCTTCTCGTGGAGAGAAATGTTCGTGATGGGGACGAACTTGAAGCAGGCGGCAGTGCAATTAAGCGAACTGACATCCGTAAACCGATGATAACAAATGGAGTTTAAAAAGAAGTAGTGGAATGATAAGCAATTTATCAAAAGGTTTGGAGCACACAATCACTGACAAATTCATTTCGTGAAAAGACTCGTAACTAAACACTAAAATTAAGGTAATTATAATCATCCCTTCTATGAAAATCATCCGAGGCCCATAAAACTCGGAAAGGTTTCGGATGTAACCAACAGATATTTGTTGTTTTGACTGTTCAGCTTGGTTCATGTCTTGAAGTGTGTAGAAAAGGGAAAATATAGGGTAGGAGGGAAGGTATTCGATTCATGGTTTTCGTTAAAGGAGGTTTACATAATCATTAGCGGAGAAGACTTTTGAAACAAAGAAAAAGAAAAACTTTGATCGGATTTTTAGGTGACAACGATAGATATTACTTCTAGTAGAAGTATTTGATAATTGGTAAAATGTCACACCCAAAGTGCGTCCTAAAATTTGGACTAACATACAGGTAAGCGATGAGATAAAATTCCTCCCCCTAAAACCTTTCAAGGAAAAGCTGAAATCTATTCTTATTGAAAAGTTTTTTCTTAGACATTTTTCTAATTTTAATTTGTTGTTATTCCTCTCGCTTTTATTTTTTTTTCTGCTTTTTGTGTTTTGGGTAGGTGTGTTTGAACGGCTGGTACCTGACCCTAACATAGTATCTATCAATTAAATACCTAAGAGCGGCTGTCCTATCTTTCTAACCTTTTATGGTTATTAAGGACAGCCTGTACTCTCTGTGTAGTTTATAATTGCTGCAATCTACTTGTAACTCTTGAGGACAAAAAAACTCATCGTTGTTCTTGTTTAAGTTACTTTTTCAATCCTCTAATAGGAAATTTCTTACTCTTACTGGTTTTTCCGTATGTGAGAACTTAATCGTTGAAGTGGCTCGCTTAATGCGACTCCTGACAAATTTCTATTTCGTTTGTAGGAAAATTATGCAACTCACCGCTGGATATCATAATAGCTTTGGATGCGTCTGGTAGTGTGCTTAAAGGAAACTGGGATAAAAGCGTAGATTTTGCCTCGCAGCTCGGCAAGAAGTTACTTTCCTTGAATGCAAAAAGTCGCATAGGAGTCATTGACTTCAGTGAGATTGCTAATGAGGTTATTGAACCATCCAGCGACCAAAAGCTTTTGGAATGGAAGTTAAATAACCTGAAAAACAATTATCAAAACGGAATCACGAGAACAGAGTTAGCCCTGAAGAAGGCGGCTGAAATATTTCAGCGAATCGACCGAACATTCGCGAAAAAACTGCTATTGATATTGACTGATGGTCAAACGACACCACTAAACTACAAGCAAGGAAAAGAACTAATTCAGGAGCCTATGGCCAGCCTGAGAACCATAGGGGTACATGTGATTGCTGTAGGTGTTGGCATGTTGGTTGACAGTGAGGAGTTGAACGTTATGGCCTCTGAACCGACAAATGAAAACGTAATTTATTTCCAGGATTATGATGGGGTCCTAAATATGGTGGATTCAATAACTCGGGTCGTTTGCTTAGCAGAAGGTACAAAACCAAGCGCTATACTTTGTTCTAAAATAAATTAGAGATATAGAAATTTGAAAGAAAAATTCATCTTTTCAATTCTTGTTTTTTTTTCTTGATAGATACTTATATTGATTATAACTTGTAGCACAAAAGTAAAAAAAAGGGTAGCACATTATACAAATGAACTTTATGGTATTGATAACTGAATGATAATGATGATGTCTAATGATGAAAAGAAGCTCTAATGCTAATAATTATCCCTATTTTATGATAAATCTTCGAGAACCCCTAACTTGTTTCAGAGCCCCAGTCCCCCGAGTCTCCAGTGCCGTATGTTGCTGCCGTCGAACCTGTCAGCTCAAGTAAGTATGCACATGCTTCTTTTAGATATAGAATTTAAACCAATGAAAGTAACAGTATCATAAAACTACGGCAAAGCTCGACGATTTTTTTCAGAAAGTGAAGTCTTGAACTTACGTCATTTGTGTCACCCTCTGGATTATCTTACCATTTGATCTTGCTCATGTTGTTGTCTACGGTTTTCTTTGGAATCATAAGCCTCTCGCTTTCCTCTCCTGTTTGTACCCCGTGTTAACTATCATCTCTCAGTATAGACTGTACTCCTTATTTACCTATAATTCACTCCTATTGGCGTATATATGTCTATCATACTTTTTTTCGATTAGGCTGCGATTAAGCATCAACTCACTTTTCACACTTTCTCAGTAAACGACATATCCATACCAAATTTGCTCCAAAATCAATGAAGACGACGAGATCCCATCCCCTGCCACCCTTCGAGCGCCATATTAACATGAATTAAAATTCTTCGCGCGATAAATAATCGTTGTTTTCGTACTTGTTGTAATCTGTGAGTCTTTTTCCTCCAAGTATGCATGTTTCATTCACTAAATAAATTTTCCTAAATTCATCTCCTAGTTAATGGTGTTAATATTTTAACAAGAATATTCTGGGAATTTTTGGTTATGAAATTGGTTTTTCTTTTTCCTCTGATGTAACAGCATGTCCTGCTAAGTACACTAAAGTAGGCTGTTTTAAGGATGACATGAAACTCCCACGCCCTCTTCCAAAGTTGCTTTTCACCGACCGCGACTCAGCGACTAAGAAGTTTAGTGGTAAATCAGTCGACTGGCAGGACTGGAATTCTTACATTAACGACCTCGTCTGCCGTTGTGCAAAGGAAGCAAAAGTTCGCAATTATGCATATTTCAGTATTCAGTTCTACGGTAAGTGACATAATCATCAACAGAATTGACACCAAGGTCTGACGCCAAATACAAAAAAGATGAGTCCTTGTAGGCCATGAAACAAGCGAAATTTCGGGTAAAGTTTGGCGGTCTTGATAAAAACCCTTTGCTCGACATATGTTCCAAAATTGTATTAGTTTTTTAGTGCAAGCCTGTCATTTGAAAACCTTTTCTTCGTGCTAAACTGGTTAATTCTTGTTCCAAAGTTCATTATTTCAAGAGTCATTAGAACTCAAACACGACATATTATTTCAACTTAAGGTTAAGTAACTTATTTTCTCTACAGGCGAGTGTTGGTCTGGTCCACAGGCGCAAGAGACGTACAACAGGGCTGGTGCCAAAAATACATGCATTACGAGTAATTTTGAGAAGTGCGATGTTTCTGATTCAAAGATATGCGTTGGAGAAAAGGAAACCAACTTCGTGTATGAAGTACAAAGAGCAGGTAACGTAAAACAGGACATCTCAGTAAGAGCTAGGAGTATATAATTTTAACAGTTAAAATAACATCATGTTAACATGATGTTGAAAGCAAGAATCTCATTGCCGGTGATAGATTCACACCAAGAGATTATTATATTCTTGGTTCCCACCAAATCTACTTCAGTGAAGAAAAATGGAGGGTAACCAAAATTAGACAAGGTAACACGCTCCTGGAGGATCACCCTGAGCCTGCATAACAATTTGGTCACAGAACTGCTAATTCAAGTTCGGTCGTCTGCAACGGTAAGGATGTGTTGGCTAACAGTCTATCATGTTTTTGTCATAGTCACATATGTATACTTGTATGTCTGTCTGTCTGTTTCTGTAGTATGTATGTATGAATGTACGTATGTATCTATGTATGTATGTAGTGTCCATTTTTAAACGATGTCTTACCTCAGTGGGAGGCTATTTGCCTTACGCACTTTTCTCTTTTTCTTGTTGGAAGAGGCTGAGCCAATTATATGCATACATGTATGTCTGTCTGTCTGTAGTATGCATATATGAATGTACGTCTGTATCTATGTATGTATGTAGTGTCCATTTTTAGACGATGTCTTACCTCAGTGGGAGGTTATTTGCCTTACGCACTTTTCTCTTTTTCTTGTTTGAAGAGGCTGAGCCAACATGTGGAGTAGAATATCACAAACTCGGATGTTTCAAAGACAACAAAAAGGGCCCTCGGCTTTTAAATAAACTCATATTAACTGATCGCGATTCCAAGTCTCCTGTTTACAGTAATATTAAGATAGACTGGGGGAATTGGAACGCGTACTTGCCAAAGTTAGCATGCAGATGTGCGGAGAAGGCTGCAGACAACAAGTTCACCCATTTTGGCTTACAGTTTTACGGTGAGGAGGTTTAGTTTTGAACAATATTATAGACAAATGTTATTTTAACGAAAACTTTGATAGGTGGAGAGGTTGGACCCAAAAAACAAAACTACCGGGAAAGTAAAGGAACCTCCATTGCCCTACAGTTTGGCTTGTTAGCTCAGTTGGTAGAGCACTGCACCGGTATCGCAGAGGTCATGGGTTCAAATCCCGTACAGGCCTGAAGTTTTTCAGACCTTATTTTCACTACTGCTCAAGTAGTGTTCATTACTGCGAAGATCGCCTTCATATTCACGTCTTTGTCCGCAGTTCAAATCCATGATTTTCATATATTCACAATCAAGTATTATTTAAGTAGCAAGAACTCAGTTGACTAAGGTTATTGATCACCAGAAGTTTTTGGATTTTACCTCCATAAATAATGTGAGCTTCCAATGGTAAACGACTTCAGGGAAACTCTATTTCCTTAAGCATATACTTATAGAATGACACATTCTATATGATAACACTCATGCATGTGAACTTGTTTTACTTCTCCTGCGAGTGCTCTTGTATATTGCTCAACTGCTCTCGCAATTGAGTTAAATTGCTGTCATTGCCTATGAAATCTGTATAGCAGAACTTGTTCACCTCAAAGTTTGATGGAGATTGAAATATCCAAGCATTGCTTGAACGTTCATATCAACGTTTCTCTGGGCATATCCTTCTGAACAGGAGAATGTTGGTCAGGTCCAGAGGCCGCTGAAACATATAACCAACTTGGTCCTGCTTCAGCAGACAGCTGTTTGACCAGCGACTATCAGCCATGCCCTGAGGATCCAAAATCTACAGACATAGAGTGTGTAGGAAAACTCTTCGTAAACTATGTTTACACCATAATAAAGAGTGAAGGTAATATCGTTACGTGCAGTTTAGCAGGCGTTGCTTTTACAGAAATTACTAAGCAGACATGCTTCTCGTTTTACCATTTGAACGGAGAAACTCACAATTCCTTTCCACAGAATAAGGTAGGTGATTACAGCCAGTTCTCAAAGGAGGATATAACAAAATCTCAATGGAATATTACACGTTCGTTGATAATGAATTCTTGCCCTAAGTTTGTAGGGCTTTCAGCATTGCATTCTTGAACAGAAAGTCCGCAGTCAGTCAAGTTGATGAATCTTTGTCGTTTTCGTTAATATATTAACTTAAGGTTTAAACAAGTTACCAATTAGAGTAGATAAATGAATAAATGAGCCCCGTAGAGAATAGGTATCGACGTGGATCGTGCTTCAGATGTAAAAAAAAAAAATATTGGCACTTTTCCAATGAATATACTGAGTTCTATTTAAGATGTCGAAGGACTGTGATTACCAGGTAGCATGCAGACAAACGAGTGACCCACAACAAATGAACGATGGAATTTATCCTTACTCTTGATCTGAATAAGATAAGAGGCCCATGCTATGGTCTCAGCTGGTTGCTTCTCATAACTCAGCAAGTACGTGCTCGAAAATCAGTCTAGCTGTCGTTACCTTATTTCAGTCTATTGATAACTATTTTCATTTAGTTTAATTTACAGCGTTTTATTAAAACCATCCATTAACCACTTTGTGACTTCTTAGGAATATGTCATACCACTGTGGTTTTTGGGCTTTTTCAGATGCACGTTGTTCAGTTCCTTTTAAACCACTGTGGTTTTTGGGCTTTTTCAGATGCACGTTGTTCAGTTCCTTTTAAACCTGTTGGCTGCTTTAAGGATAATCAGAAGAAGAATGCTCGACCACTCGGTGAACTGCTTCTTACATATCGCGACCGAAAAAGTGCCAAAAATAACGGAACTGAAATTAATTGGGGAGAATGGGACGTTTACTTGTATGAGTTGGTGTGTCTCTGTGCCGAGAAGGCAAAGGAAAAGAAATACTCCCACTTTGGGTTGCAGCATTACGGTAGGTGAACACGTGCGACAGAACACACTTGCACAATAAAATCACTGATACGGGTTTTTTTTTCAAGCCCTAATTTTGCTTGACAAGACATTGTAACGTAGAGGAAGGTAGCTGAAAAGTTACCGTCCAATTTGTAAACATTGTAACTAGTGACTCTGGATAGCTTCGTATAGTTAATTCATAAAGTCGGAATTCAGATATCATCTTAAAACTTCATATAAATGTTTGTTTCCTTAAACCTAAACACCAAAACTTTTAAGATCGCATCGTTTATTCATCTAAAACGATATCCGGTTAGATCGCTCCATGGTTAGATCGCTCCAAGTCAGATCGCTCCATACCGAAGTCAGATCGCTCCACTCGAAAGTTAGTTCGCTCCATCAAATAAGTTATTTCGCTCCATACATAAGTTACTTCGCTCCATGTAGAAACCTAATACACTAACTTACTTCTGATCTACTTCTGATGATGTGTATTGCGTCTTGCGATCGGTCGAACTACCGATGTTGGAACAAGTGTTTCAGTGTGTAATGAACGTAGAAAACTAATAACCTAACTTACTTCTGATCTTTGTAGTTTATAGTTGATGATGTTGCTTGCGATCAAGTTGCTGAAATATAAAGTGATCGACGATTCGTTCACTTGAACCCACCAAAGCGAATTACCAATGATGAAATAAGTGTTTCAGTGTGTAATAAATCATGAAATTTCCCTTATCCTTCTGTCTTTTATCAACCTTCCACGTTAGTTTTCTTCATGGAGCGAAGTAACTTATGTATGGAGCGAAGTAACTTATTTGATGGAGCGAACTAACTTTCGAGTGGAGCGATCTGACTTCGGTATGGAGCGATCTGACTTGGAGCGATCTAACCATGGAGCGATCTAACCGTAAACCATCTAAAACATGTATATTTCCATCAGTTAAAGAACAAAATTCCACGTGACGTTCTATTCTCGCTGGATCCCCTGAATCCCAAAAACCGACAAAAAATTAATCCTATTACGCTCTCTATTTCCCACAAAATATATTCTCTGCCAGGACCCGAAGTACCGGCTACTGTTTGATTCAAAGCAATTTTTATTGTTCCTAAGGTGAGTGCTGGTCGGGGCCTGAAGCAGGCGAAACATTCAGCAAGGATGGACCTTCAGAGGCAGATAAATGCATTGGTCGAGGATTTAAAACATGTAACGCCTTGGTTGATGACATCTGTGTGGGAAGGGAAAAGACTAACTTTGTCTTCTCTCTTTACTAGTACGAAGAAAATAAAAAAGTACAGCAATCAACAGGCTAATTTAAAGTGTCAAGTGGTTTATGTTGGATATGGCTGGAACCAGAGAATACAAACAACTTAATTGCTCTTACTTTTCGGAAATTCAAAACGGTCCGATTTATCTGGCAAATTAAAACCTTACGAGGCAGTCCGATTCTTGCATCCACCAGCTTTCTTTTGTCATAGACAATTAGAGGTCAGATAAATTGCGTGTGAATTGACTGACGATATTAAAATCTTTACCGAGTGTGAATTGCCTTAGGATCGTCGGATCAATATCAGTATCTGGGCAACTGCCCACCTACCCCTCCCCTAACCCAACATTAACCTTAACTTGTTGTCAATTGACTGTTGTTGAGTTAGGGGAGGGGTAGGTGGGCAGTTGCCCAGATACTGATATTGATCCGGATCGTCTCTCAAAGCCATTTTACCTCTTAAACCCGTCCTCTCCCCCCCTCTCAAAAAAAAAAGAAAACAAAACAAAATCTTCTCCTTGACTCAAATAACAAATAACCATAGTTGTTTCTGATGCTTAAAGATTAATAAACCCTAGCAAAGTCAAATCAACAGCAGCGTGATATTTCCTCATTTTACGATATGAATAAAGGACCTCTCTAGGAAATAATGCAGCGGTCATTTTTTATCTGGGCACCGCCATTTGGATCGTGTGGCGTTTCATAGTTTCCACTATTGACTATAAGTTCCTTTTGGGAATGCTGCAAACAGAGGACTCGAACATCAGCCTACAATGATCAAAAAAATGCTCGCTGAAAGCCTCTTTTTGAAGCTCTTGAAATGCTTTATTTCTGATAAGACTGAACAAATCAACCTTGAAAAAAAACACATCGCAAAAAGCCTTGAAACATAAAATCAATATCATTCTCCTTACTTCATTCATCTTGATGAAAAGGAATCGCTCGAAAAAGGAACCGTTTGAGGCCGCTTTATTCCGCTATTGTTCTCAAGAACTCTCATTTCGTCACCTTGACCAAACCGAACGAAACCAAATTCAAACTACACGCGCTCGGTGGCCGCCGAAGCGAGTTTCCTAAAGAGACTTCTGAGCCTACAAGCCAAAATATATAGCCGGATTACCCATTTTGGAAGTGGAAAGGCATGCTGGCTTTTTCGGGGTATGCAGTTTCTTTATCTTAATAGACTTTGGACATTTCTTTGCATGACCGAGCTATAATGCCGTCTTAATCTGACGTAAGTCTTGGATCTGTCAGGCAATCTTACCTTATCGAAGTCGAACGGGTCACGCCCCGTGAAGAAAAAAGTTTCCATTACCTTAATACGAGTCAAAATGGTTGTTTTCAACGCCATAGTGACAAAACTGTTACCCACGTCGGGATTACTCTCTGAATAACATGATTCTAAACAGGGTGCTTTTTGTTATGTCTAGTAAAATATTGTATCTTTCTGTCTCTTTTGGATTTGACCGAGACTCGCTGTTATCGAGAGAAAATGATAAAACACTATTTTCTATTGCTATTACTTAATATTTCGCCTCACCCTCATGCACTCACTACGGCGAGTCTATCAAACGATTTAATGATTGGTCGGGATTTTTCCTTACGGACCGTTTCCACGGAAACGGTCATAAACCGTGTATTTTTGTTTCCTAAAGCCGGCAAATTCAAATTAATCAAGTTTGGTCCGAGTGCCATATGATAAATTACTTAGTCACCTCGCTTGCTCTACTGGGTCTTATTGGGGATGATTAGCCCTCCGTCGTTTTTGCACGGACCCCGCTGCACTCGGTCCCGACTGCCACGACCTTGGGCCAACATTCCCCACTGCGGCCCTTGCGCTCGCTCAGTAAGAAGTAAATTTGGTACAAAAAGATGTATAAAGAAAGGTTGATTAAACTGTAACAGACAGGTTAGCCGGTCACGAGTACCCTCCTCCAGTAGTTTTGTTCGGTTGTATCAGAAGTCCAGTTGTATGTTGTTATGTAACCGAATTTGTACTTTCAGACTGCCGACAATCTACCCGGTATAAACGGCGCTAAATAATCTTTTAGCCGGACTAAATTTTGTGTTCATTAAACAGAACGGAAAATTTCAGGCAGCGTTCGTTGGACGCACTATGATAGGTTATGTGCCTATGGGCAAAAATATGTTTACGTAATATTTGAGAAATTCACTGGTCCATGACAAACTGACAGTTGGAAAACATCAGTTCAATTTATGAAATCTCCTGAATGGCAATATTGAAGTATATCTAATATGAATGCATCATTTTTTCTGGCCTTTTTATTTACATATCTATCAATATCAGGAAAGTCTGACGCTGATTTCCGTAAAGGTATGTTTTGATAATTAACGAAAGAGAAGGTTTGTGCTTTCTCGCTTTACATGCACTGGACACCCCCTCCCTGAAATGAATAACAGAATGTCTCTGGCTACACTGACACAATAACAATTTCTCTTCTATTAATAATCTGGGGGAAAATGTTTCCATAAGCTTGGTTTCTTCATCTCTATTTATCGTGATTAATGTTCATTCCACTTCAAGCTAACATTGTTGATTTCGATGGACTTATATATAGATTCATTTCTATTGTCCCTCTGGAAAATATTGTTTTGAAATCATGCAAAGTAAGAGTTAAAAGAGTCACTATTGAAGTTCATAAATGGGGAATAACTATAATTTATCATCTCGCTCACTCTGTTTTAGATTGCGTGTGGAAGATAATTTGATATTCTTGTCAGCAGAAATGCGTTAACTATTCATAAATTTGATAAAATCTGTCACCATTTTTGAACAAGCGTAGGAGTTGTAAAGAGAAAGAAGAATGAGACGTAATCAAAGAGAGATCTGTAGTAAATTGACAAATCCTGCAAGTTAGTAGGTTCCACAGTTTTTGCAACCCTTTGTCGTTGTCAGACAGCCTTGATACTTGTTTATTCGCAGCTCGGTAACTTTAGATTGCAGGTGTTAAGATTGTTGGTTGTCCCTTAATATGCCAAACCGCAGGGCATAAAGATTTAGCTTAATCAAGGAGAAGTCACCATTTGAGGCCGTGAAACGTATGGGTTTATATGCAAATACTAGTTACGGTGAACTTTACATGTTTAAAAAAATGGTCTCGAATAACAAAGATCATTCTTCGACTTTTTTCCTTGATGTAGACTCTCGTCAATAAAACTATTCCACCCCGCTGATTGTGGCCATGACAAATTGCTTTTATGTGACTGGTTCTTCGTAACCTTTTAGTGCAGGTTGACCGACTTTTGCGGGCCGAAAGAGTTTGATTGAACCCTTCTGATTACACAATTATAGACCATATATATTACACTCGGGAGGACGAGTTGTCTCGCCTTAACTGGTAAAGTAACCCTGTCAGGCGGGACAACTTATTCTTATCCAAGCACCTCAGCTCACCTTCCTGACCCGAGGCTCAGGCAATGAGTATTTCTTTTTGGGTAAAAAGTAGCGCCAGGAAAATATTAACAACCATCGATAATACTTCGGTCAGACGTGGAAGCAAAAACTCAATACTGATTGTTAATCCTTTCCTTCGGTCTGCCATTTTGTACAAAATGTAACCTGCCTATCTGTCACGATAGTGACAGATTGGCAGGTTTCATTTTCACCCCACCGCTGGTGAGGGGACAGCTGTTATAACTCACAACCCTATATCAAAGCTCCGTTAAGTTGTCTCGAGGAGGAGCCTGGTTGCCTCGTGCACCTGAGACCATACAGATAGGGCTTAGCCGTCTTCTTCATCCTAAACTATAAACTAAGTTATGTTGTAACAAGCTTCCTGCATGTTGTTAGGATCAGCAATGTTAAATGCGTCGTTCAGAAAATAAGATAAGAAAGATGGTTGAGTTTGAGCTCGTTCATGAAATGAACTTTCCTTTCCATTTCATGAGCGCACTCAAAATTTACCGTCTTTCATATCACGCATGTTTAATTCTCAACGTTAGTAGAGGCAATGATTCAATCAATGTCAGAAGGGAAGTGAGGATGGAAAATCACTAATATTTATGAATTTTCACCATTACCGAAGCACTAAATCTAATGAGACTTTTCATTTATTTTTTAAAGAAAACCCAGCAAATTCTTCCTCTCTACCCATGTCTGTTTCGTGGTCGGAACCTATGTGGAACCAATTTAATGCATACCAAAAGACTGGTACCGGAATACCTGCTCCACCAACGACTCACAGCACTCCTCAAACTTTACCAGCACTGCAACTCAGAGGACAAGGAGCACCAGTAGCTGAACCTGTATCACTGCCTCGACGATATTCTGTGTGCCCTATGCCTACATGCAGCTTTCCATCTATTTGCGTTAAAGTAGCAGTTTATGCGACTTGTGTTCCTCCTCCTAATCCATCAGCATCCACCAACAATTCATGTTCCACACCTGGCCCATGCCTAACAACAGTTACCAAGACAGCGACTGACACAAAAACTTTAGTATCAACCAGCACTCAAACAGAGACAAGTACAGCGATTGCTACCATAACTAACACGAAGACAACAACAAACACAGCACTGACCACACAGACTCACACACAGACAGATGTTGTCACCGCAACTTCAACCTTGACCACTACAAATACACAAGTAGCCACCAGCACCCATCACACCACAGAAACAAGCACAGCTGTAACAACAAGTCACCTGCCAGTAACCAGCACGAAGACTCTGACAGCTACAAGTACAAGGATAGTAAACACTACTGACACTCATACTTTAACTACTACAGATGTGATAAGAACAACAGAGACAAGTACAAACATTGTGACGAGAACTGCAAACAAAACTAACACACACACCTTGACAACAACTAAAACAGACACAGTGACTAGCACAGGAATTACAACAAGCACTTTACTTACCACAGCCACTGCAACAAACACAGTTAATACCACTCATCTTGCGACAAAAACATTAACTGAAACTCTTACCACAGTAGCAACCCAAACTTCAACTTCAATGTATAATGCAACAAATGTTATTACTGCTACAACAACATCTACAGCCACAGCCACCAGTACTGCTGTTTTGACGGCAACAAGCACTGCTAAGACAACGGAAACACTGACGGCAACCAGTACAGCAGTTTTGACCCAAACTTTGACCAATACTCACAACCAAACTTTAACACAAACTAAAACACTTACGGCAACCTCCACGAGTGTGGTGACCACTTGTAGCGCTAGTTGCTTAACTGTGGGTAAGTGTACGTTTTTCCGAGACGGAGTGGTGGAGAGGTTAATACAGATTGGCCATGGTTTGATATTTTCTCTTAAGAAAAGAATGGCGAGGACACCTACGGATTTCGCTGTAGAGCTTTTAATTTTTGCTCAGATAATTTTAGCTGTATGTAATACAATTTACTCTTTCTGGGTATTTTTGGCCCTTACCATTTTTCCCCTCGAAGAGCTCGCGTCATATCGGCCACAAGCTCCAGCCATGTAATATGAATACAACAGTCAAACGTCTGCGCATGCGAACGTTGTCACTACTAGGTGGCGTGCTTTCAGGCTGCCAGTACCAAATTTATCTCACACGAGTTACAAAAACCACACAAGCTAGAAAGTCACGGTTTTAGAACCGCAAGAACTTTATTGATGTAGTCCAAAACGGAAAGGTGAATCAGCCGGATACCCGTGCTTGAATGAGCTTTGTGTTCAAAAAGTTACAGCAGTTTTGACACAAACGAGTTTCCTTTTCCCTAATTTATTTTCCTTTTAACAAATTTCTATAAAAGTCTTTTTGGCTCACAAGGCGAAACAGCAGTTATTTCTATGAAATAGTACTGTTTTCCTACTGTTTTCCTTTGCAATAATTCGCCGGAAACTGGTGCGTTTCCGGCTGTAAGGATCCCCTTGCGCATGCTCGACGTTGGGCCGCTGTGTTTATAATGCGTCACGATAGGATCATAATTTGACACTGTAGAGATATTGCTTTCTGAGAACCTCACGTTGGAATTTTTTTTCTCCTGCCTTGAAGCCAAAGAGGCATTTTCTTTCCGGTTCGTACTTTTTTTTTATAAATGGTACTTGAGCAAAAAACTTTTCTTTTTTCATTTGCAGTACCTACTACCACTCCTTTGCCACCTACACCACCTACACCAAAACCACCAGGTAAGTTCAATGCTTAAGTACGAAGAAAAGGAATGTTAGCTAGTTGGCCAAATTTTTTTTGATTCTGAACGAATTGGTGGGAAACCTCAGACTTGGAAGGTTTATTCACGTTTATTCCTGTTTTATTTGTCTACAGTTTGCGAACAAGCGCTGGATATCGGTGTAATCATTGATGCTTCTGAGAGTGTCAAACTACCTAATTACAAGCTCTGTCTACAGTTTGTAGCTAACTTGACAGAACACTTTAAAGTGTCACAGAAGGGAACTCATTTTGGAAGTATAGTTTACAGCAGTGATGCTGAACTGCAATTCAGCTTTAAAGACATTCAATATCACGACGCCGAAAGTCTAAAGAAAAAGATAAAGAGTTTTCCTTACTTGAGAGAGGGAACAAGAACCGATATAGCACTTGAACTTGCGAACACCCTACTGTTTTCTGTGCAAGGAGGAGATCGGTTTGACAAGCCTGATGTCCTCATTGTTATCACAGATGGGTTAACGGATCCTGAAAGGAGTAAACCATACCCAGTGGTCTTAAAACCTCTTGAGGTAAGTATTGGTACATTTTAAGCATTGTAGTACGACGTATCTGCTACGTGGAAGCACACTGAAGTGTGAGGGCTCAGTTCTTGATCGCAAGAGGAGGGGCCCCCATTTTGTATTCTTGAACCACTAAGGAAAAAAACTTGACTTCGAACGCAGAGTTGGCCGATAGGCACTGAGTAAAAGGGAGTTGTTACGTTACCTCTACCCTTTGTTATCAAATATAGTGCTGATTAATGATGTGGAACAAAGTACGAAAGAGAAAGATGAATATTTCTTTTATGATTGTATTAGCTGTAATTCAACAGTTGTGTATAATCTAAACAAGGGCAAGGTACCCATTACATGGTCATGCTGGTACTTCTCTTTCGAGCGTCCAAGTCTGTTGACATTAACATATCCATCACATAACGTTTAATTACCCTTTGTACAATTGATATGTTTCTTTCTACTTCGTGTTAACCACTGTCCCCATGTAGTTCATTTTTACCACACGCCTGGCCCTTTTTTTTTTAGTGGTGTAAATTCCCTTCTTTCGCTTGCATAAGATCACAATGAAAAAAATTTTTGTAACTATTTGTCACTCAAATAGTGTGTTTACTTAGTGTTCTCCTCAGCTAGGGCAAATGTTTAATCTAGGCCAAATTTGTCAAAATGCTAATGCAAAATTTAAGAAATTCAGCTTATCAAAGCCGAATTGATCAATACGATATTTCTTGTCGCATCTGTGGAATAGGCACCTTTTACTAGTTCGTAGTGTGAGTAACGGACCGAGTTATTTACCCATTTGATGTCAGCGCTGAGCGCGAGCGGGAGGACAAAAAGAGATTCTGAGTTAAAACTGCCTCAGGTATTTGTTGGGACGTGCTGGTAAATCTAGCTACCGAAATTATCATGAAGTCGTATTTAAAACTAAGATAAAATAGTTACTCAAAGTTTCAACATACAAATTGACTTATAATCCAAATTGTTCGTATTCTTTTGGTATTTTCGTTCATCAAGGACAAATTGGAAGCCATGTATCTCCAGCCAGAACACCATAAATTTGTTCTTTGGCATTTCTTGAAATTGCTGAACAGTAAAGATTCACTCACCAGGGTTGGATACACTGCATATTTCTTGATATGCAATAATATTCTCTCACTGAAGGGAAGAAAACCAGCATTGCGTCGCTTCATAGGATTGGGAGTTACAAAGATTACCCTCTCTATTTCAATGTTTTATTATTCAATCATAAGGTATCTTAAGGACATGTTCAATTTCTGATCATGTGACAGGATAAGAAGGTTGTGGTGATTGCAGTTGGAGTTGGAAAGGAAGTAAATAAACCCGAGTTGACGTCTATAGCTATGGGTGATGTTAATCACGTTTTTATGGTCGATCAATACACAGATCTGGTCAAAATCATAAATGCTCTTCTCGACAAATCGTGCTCTGGTAAGTTTTTTCGGTTAAAAAGAAAAGAACCCATAGATCTTTTAAGAATTTTAAGATCACATAAGGTTAAAACAACCACACAATGTATGTTTAATTCTTCACGAAACTAGAATCTTGCCGAAATATTTATACCGGGTCGAAACAGCTCTAAAAGCTACTTTGGCTAGATTCCACACAATCTTGCATAACTCGAGAGAATCCCGTGGAATCAACGTTGGCATCTAATTTGTGGTTATTTATTTCTTAAAAATCAGTGATGATAGAAAGAACTGGTAAACAGAGACATGCCTTGAAAAAAACTGAGAACTGTTGGTTATATTCTTGCAGTCTTCGCCTGCTATATTATCAAAGATTTTTTTGGAAATTGTCATTGGGAAAGACCATATCATTTTCTTCCTCTTCTTTTCAAGTCTACTTCATGTTTAATGAGAGGGTGAAGTAATTTTTATTTGACCCACAGCTGCGACACAACCGAAAATGGTACCGTCAAAGGCTGTTGCACTTGTCAAGAATCAAGAACACTATGATGGTAGGCATGCCGACTGTAGTAAAGGTCTTGTTTCACACCTAATTCTAAATAACCGGGTTCGCATGCTTTTGTTCAAAGCAAACCAATCATCTAGGGGAAAAACCAAAAGGAACCATAATCTTGTTAGTGTTTGATTTTGCATGTCTCACATCAATGTTTAACTCTTGCTCTGAATAGCCGGTTTTTTCCTCTGCCAGCTGAAGAAGTTCAGAATTGAACGAGATCTGTTGGTTAGCTATCCACCGATCAGTTAAGATTGTACTTTCCGTCTCTTTCCATTTTTAGGTGAGTGTCCTGTGCAATTCATCAAAAAAGGTTGTTTCAACGCAATAAAAAGTCAAAAGCCTTTGCCGAGATTGATGTTCACAGACCTCGACGCCAGAGACTCTAAATTCAGTGGTGTTCCAATAGACTGGGGAAGCTGGAACAGTTATCTGCAGAACGTGGTTTGCCGATGTGCTCAGGTTTCAAAAGCGGAAGGATTCTATTACTTCGGGGTTAAAAATTTTGGTAGGTTTAAGTCCAAAAAGACTCTTTTTAGTATCCTCGGCCTTTGTTTTCATCAAGGAAATCTCTATTCGAGTAACTGCCCTGAACAAGACTCTAGGAAAGAACATTATTATAGACGGGAATGAATTATCAGGGCAGGAAAAATATCGAAGAAACAAAGAACGTTGAGCAGCCGCGAATGAAGAGTAAAAAGGACGAACGATCGTAATATGGAACGGCGCACAGATGTGATATGAAACGAACAAAGGGTGAACGAACAGTGACAGATTTGTTGCAATGTAATATGGGACGGCGCACAGATGTGATATGAAACGAACAAAGGGTGAACAAACAGTGAGAGATTTGTTGCAATGCTAGATACTGGACTGAGAAAAATTGCTCGAGGGCGACCAAAAAACTGTCCATATATGAATGATCTTACAGTCCTTACAGTTAATCCTTTGCACCTTGGAATACAGCATGAAAAAGTGTTTTAATAGCAGTGGCTGGCTATTAGACCTACCTGTATCCTTTTTGCTTAATTTCCTCAACAAAGTCGCTGCGTATACAGCTTTTCCGTGGTAATTAGAAGACTCAGTTCTTTTAGTTTCAAAAAGCCCGGCCTGTCGAAAATAAACTTTAACTCTACAACACTTTATTCAATTTGAAATTTCCTTTTATGTGACTGGCTTCATGTTGAGTCCTCATAAGGTATTGTATGTTTAGCCTTTCTATTTTGTAACGTAAAGTACGTTTCCCAACCTTAGTCTACCAATGGAAAGTCACTTTTAAAGCTAAACTGGCTAACTGTAAATTCTTAGAATTAATCCTCAACTTAATTTCTACAAATTTTTCATTCTGACTGAAAGTTTACCAGAGAATTCTTTTGATACCCAGGTGAATGTTGGTCTGGAGAAAATTTAGACATAACGTATAGTAAAGACGATTCGTCTGAATTCTGCATCTCGAAGGAATTCGCTGAGTGTGATACGAACGACAGGAATGTTTGCGGCGGAAACGCGACTACCACATATATTTACAGGATGCCTAAAGAAAGTGAGGCCAAGCAAGGTAAATGTGCAACACATCGCATTTTTACGACAAACATTAAAGATATTCTGTTTCTTGAACTGAGTTACCTAAGCAAAGTAAACAATATGTAATGCTTGATTCTGAACCAATTGGAAATTGGAGTGGTAAACAAGAGCTGAACAACGATGTGAGACAAAGGTAACATGGGTGATTTTAGACGCCATCGGGTAGATTTGATTGCGAAGGAGTTGGGCAGCTATTGATACGAACACACTCGACAATGTTTTCTACTAATACCGGCAGTTTAGCCTTTCAACTTAGTTTTCGGGTCACATTCACTAAAACTTGAATTTCCTGAGAAAAGTTTCGGAAATGGTGTAGGAATGGTGCGAAATGAATGAAATGGTGCGGAATGGTGTTAGGGCGTATGCCAATTTATTTGATGGCCTGAAGCATTAATGTGGGGACATTTCACCCCAATAGTAGACTAAAAACAAAAGCCTGAGTGCAATAGGTTGCTCCAATTGTGCACAGATAAATTTCTTTTAGATTCGAGCAGATCCTATAAATTTTTATAAAATTTCGAAAAGCGAATTCTAAAGAATTAAATCTCATGTTCTCAGGGAAACGTTGCTTCACAAAGTTCAAGAATGTCGGCTGTTTTGCTGACATGCAAACCTCTTCCAGGCCTATACCAGAGCTTATTTTTACTGACTTGGATGAGAGCTCAACCAAATACAGCGGCCATAAAGCGCAACTAGGAGAACTCGACACTTACTTGAGTGACCTACTTTGTCGGTGTGCTGAACTTACTCAGGAGCTTGGGTACGAATACTTTGGCTTGCAAAATCACGGTGAGACAAACAACATTAATGTGCACTCAGTTGCAAGCTTAAGTGTTTATTCAAAATATTTTATAATCAATCAAATGAAACATATAACCGGTGGCTTTTTGACGTATTTATTGTATTGTTTAAATACTTTTTAGGTGAGTGTTACTCGGGACCAAGTGTTCAGCATACCTACAGCAAGGATGGTTCATCAAAAAAATGCATCACAAGAAATTTCAAACAATGCCCAGCAGGAAAAAAGTACGAAAATAAAGACGGCCAGGACTACTGCGTGGGCGCACAAGGCGCTAATTATGTTTATCGTGTCTAGGTCAGATATCTCGGACTACCTAACTGGCAGCTTTGAAGAAGACACAGTTAAGTTATTTCAGTCGACTGATCCAGAATTTGACGAAGATTACGATCCTCGTGTTGTTCGTTAAGGCGCAAAATTGAATTTCTTGATCTCATGGATTTACTATGGTTACTTCTTTTAAATCAGAAACCCTTCATCTCATTCTAAAAAACGAACAGCTGCTCGTTTCAGTTATGATGAAGAGAGTTACTTCTGTAAATTATTATCCGACCTGACTAGAATAAGGTGAAGTAATGCTACGATGAGTATTATCCATCAGTACATATCTAAGGTTGTTTTATGAATTTCAACAGGAAATCATGCACGCTCATTGTCATGAAAAACATAGGTCAGTGTTGCTGCCTGTGCAGCTAGAGTAACTGCATACTCGAGATCGAAGGTGTTCAGTTCAGTTACCAAGTGAATTAGCCGTAAATAGTAAGGCGAGAAGGGCGCTCGGCGTTTGGCGGCTGGTTATCAAACTGTCGCCTTCTTTGACGAAAGAGAAATGCCTCAAGTAAGTCGTCTGAAATTAATGAAATTATTTATTCGCCTCCTACCTTCACCGCACACTTGAGCTAATGCTTCAATCCAATAGTTTTTGCTTCTTACATTTCTGTGTTTGTATGTCGAAATTAGTGATCTTCGTCAAGCTTTTGTTGAAGATTTAATAAATCTTCTGATTCTCACCTATATGACCTAGTCCAGCTGAGAACATAGTGAAAATGATAATCTAAAATCAAGTATTATCAACTGAGTTGATAACGTATATTGGCCACCATAGAGAGTTTGAAAGCTGACGTGTCGAGCGTTAACCCTTTGCCATTCGCTCTGACAGAGGGCTAACGCTCGACACGTCAGCTTCGGAACTCTTTAAGGTGGCCAGTTTACGTTATCAACTCAGTTGACAATACAAAATAACCCTGTTATACTCTCACACCGCCACAGCACCAAAGTTTCTTTAGAGACTTGCCTCCTTTATTCATTTACTATCATTGCGCTTCATTAGCTTTGACGATCTCGATACGGTTAATAATCACCGTCATGAGCAAACCCAGCTTTTTGCAAAGGCTAATACTAACGGTAGAACAGAGAAAACGAACGTTAGGGAAAACCTTTCGACGGAAATCAGTATCAAAAGCTATGAGTTAAAGATCTTTGTAATATATTTAAAAAGTTTTCATACAAAATCTTGCTGGTACCATGACTCCCACACTCATGAAAGCGTTGAAAAGACCAATGCAAACACCTGCTTTCTGGTAGTATATGGTACGACTCATTGACCATGGCAATATCAAACTTGCATCATTTCAAAACATTATTTTTGACTGACTGAAAATAAACCCATAACAGAGCTCATGCTTTAATTCTTATGTTGCACTCGTCCTCTGGTTGAAGCCGAGTTTCAAAGTCTAAACCATCTTTAATGCTTGCTCAGCACTGAAGCAAACAGCTCAGTCTTTCATAACGTTCTGAGACGTTTTAACAACTGAGAAAATGTCACGCTCTTTTAATATCAAGATAGTATGAAAAAAAAAAAAAAAAAAAAAAAAAAACGCCTCCACATAATACTGGCGTAAAAGGTTGTGGTATTCAGTTCTCTTTCATTACCTCCCATGGACAGACGATGTTGACGTAATATGACAGTTATTTATCAATAGTCTTTCGACATGAACAAACAGTTTTCCAATTTAAATTCTTTTGTGTACATTCACGTTTTCATTAGACATCACTTTCAAAACGCACCATGAATTTTCACTTTTATCTGCTTTCGATAATCGTATTTACGTCGATATCAAGAAAAAGTGACGGACTCTTCATGGAAGGTGAGTTTAAAGCATTTTAGGCAGACGGATACTTAGCACCAGGTAGGCAAAGTTGGTTACCTGTATTAATGTACATGGTTGGTTTGATTTCAAAATTACTCGCACGTCAAAGACTTTTCTACTTTGCAGCGAACTTGCGAGTTTTCTTTTTCCGTGTTGTATTTTATAGGTTTGATTTGTTTTCGAAGGTACCTTGACTTGAAAGACTCGTAAGCAATAAAATTTTTGGTAACAGTATCGTAATAACATGTACCTCGCGAATGCATTCAAGAAAATTTTAGAGAATCCTTAGGTCATGTTTATGATTATGATTGTTATTGTTTGGTATGTTTGTTATTGTAGTGGTTTTACCATATAGCAATGACATAGCCGTATTCTTGAGGGCAAGCCCTTAAAGTCCTATAAGCAAAGCCCTTGACTTATAACGGTTGTAAAAAATTAATTGTATAACTTGGCAAAAAAAAAAAACGATAACCGGTTTTATCTTTGAGAATATCATAAGTTTATCTCTTTGATATTCATCTCACCGAAGTTAGTATTCATTGTAATCAGGTGATTTGGTTTTATCAACTGAATTGATAATGTAAACTGGCCACCTTAGAGAGTTTCTAAATCTGACGTTACGAGGGTTAGCCCTTTGTCAGAGCGAAGGAACGTCATCATTCGGTCACCTCAAACGAAGGGAAAACGCTCGAAAAGTCAGCTTTAGAAAGTCTTGATAGTGGCCAATTCAAATCAAATAATATAGTTATATTCTGCTCCCCCCCCCCCCCGTCACAGCACCACAGTTTCTTGAGAAACTTATCCACATTATTAATCATAATCACCGCCAACATTAAAGCACTCGCTGAAAATTGAGAAAAATAAACTCCCACGTTGATTTCTTTAGGATTCCGTCAATATAACAAGCAAGACACCCGTTCTCGATCTTCAATGAAAATTGTCATCAGTGAGAACTGGGGCGTTATCAGGACAACTTGACAATAGCCCTTGCATAAGTTTGGCTCGCGAGATCCAAACTATCATTAGGACTAATTCAAAGAAAAAGAAAAATTTTTTTGCATTGACCCTTCAAGACATCCTGATCTGAAAAACGGATGCGATGTGTGATTGAAAATGGTCTGATTTAAAGCCTATCTGAATTTATGTCGATAGAAAGTATACAGTTTAGATACTGAAAGGAAAGGTATTTGTATTTCATTATTAATGAAAAATAAACTTACTTACAAACCATAGAATGAAAACAAACCCTATAACCGTGACTCTGCTGCGGCGCGTGCAGTATTTTAGTTTCTCGTTCACCCTACAACAGGAGTGCGCGTTTGCTCCTGTTGATGGTTTTCATCCCAAAATGTAAGTCTTTTAATGACAGAGCTATAAGCAAATGCTTGGGGTCTTGGGAATCTTACATAATAAATCCTATCTATCGTCGCAGAGCCTCGGACTGAAATAGAATATCAGCCAATAGGGGAAGTCGAACGGAAAGAGATTAACGAGTCATCTGCATCAGAAGTATCCAACAACCCACTTCCAGCTGAGCCCGAGCATGCTCAAGTTGTCAGTACAGAGCACGTGACAAATATAGATCCATCTAAGACTTCCATGCCTGCATCAGCCTCTATTCAGCTTCCTGGGGTACCACCAGTGAGTGGTAGGCCCCCGGGTAGCGAAAAGGAACCACTTCCCCCTCCTTCCGTTGAGCCAGGTGAGCCGTTTTTCAACGATTAAAATCAAGAGAATATAAAGAGGGATGCTTCCAGGCTCCACCCAAGTTTTTGATAAAATATATGTACACATGTAGTCTCACGAACAAAAGTCTGTTTTCTAAAGGTTTACTTCAATCTGATACGCGAAGGCAAAATAGTGGGGTATTGTGTAGAGATACGTTTTTCTGATGAAAACAACTTTTGAAGGGATTATTGAACAAGATTTCGCAATGAGACACCTTACATTATAGAAGACTGATGACACTACCTTCCACTTCCGTCTAAAACCAAAATTATCTCAAACGGAGACGACGTCTCCCAACCAACACTCTGTTTACCACCGATCATTTTCCCTTGATTAAGTGACTCGTAAATGTAGATTATGAACAAGAGCAGATCTCAACATCCCAGGCGTCAAAGCTCGCCAGTTTTCCAACACCCCATGTCAAAGCACATGATATAATTTGAGTCTGCGTATGTCACTGCTCATATGATTCATTAAATAAGTTTCACTACTCCTAGTTAAAAATCACGATAAATTTCATCTATAACAGGGTGTTTTGATATTATCAACTCAGATGATACTACTAAATTACCCTGTTGTACTCTTCCACCGACGCAATACCGCAGTTTCTTTAGAAACTTGCCTCCTTTATTTTTTTATTTTTTTATTTCATATATACTTTTTCTAGCACTTTAATATGCGAAACTGCTAACACTCAGCAGCTGAAAGCTAGATAAAGACGTTTTACCCATCAAGTAATCTAACAACCAATTTTTTTGGTCGGCTTTCTTACATTCTCACTTATATGATATATTGGTGACACAAAAACAAAAAAAACCTACCGATTATTATTAACTACTGGTCATACATGAAGAAACAGAAGTAACTGTCATGAATTGTGCTGACAAAAATAATATGAACCTAAGACTAAGAGAAATATTCCCATAGAGCCACCTGTGGTACAACAACCGCAACCTCCAGTCCCTTTGACGGCAGCATCGACATCGACCACTGGTAAGACCCCTATAGTGCTCCATTTGTTTACAATCGTTGAGAGCATTTACACTGATAGAATGAGTCTACCTCATAACCCATTACAGACATTGGGTCTTAATTTGTTAGTGAGCACTACGATCGTCAAAGCATATTGAATGTTGCCCTTATTTGTGTCGTTAGATGATATGAAAATTGTAACGTTGTTACAATGTACTAGACAAGATAACAAGAGACATTAAATTAATTGTACATTATTCAAATCATCATCTTAGACTCTTGCTCTTACCTCTTTACCTCTTTTTCATTGCAGCTGGGTGCCATAAAGTGATGGACTTAGGAATCCTTATGGACTCCTCTCATTACATCTCTCCGTCGCTTTGGGAAGAAGAGAAGTCAATTGTTGTGACTCTTATGGATAAACTTGACATAACTCTTCTTGGAACACATATGAGTGTAATGACACTTAGTTCAGAGGTGGAATTTCCGATCCCATTCAATGGATACAGGGACAAGGTTGATCTAAAGAGGAAAATAGCAGAGTTGCCTTATAATTACCACTCTGGATTGTCTCGGGTAGATCTTGGATTGAGTGCAGTCAAGGAGCGAATGTTTGATCCTCGGGTTGGAGTTAGGGCCAAAGTGCCAAGGGCTCTTTTGATGTTTACCAACGGACTAACAGACGGTGCGAAAACACTCATTATTACATTAATTTATTTGAAGTTTAAGAAGGATTGTGTCTTTGTTTGGTTCAATTCTTTTTTGGTGTCGTGGTCAGACAAAAGTAAATAACATGATGGATCAGGTTCAAATACATGCATAAATAACTGGATGTTCAGTTGAGGGGATCACTCATTCAGAGGGAAATTATCTTGCCTTCATAATTATTTTATTTCAACCCTTTGACATATAGTCCCTACCTCCCCCAGCAGATTTGGGAGTGGAATCACTGATCATTCACTATACTTTTGAACACTCTAATTGGAAACTGACCCTGGATACTTTCAAATCATTCCTTTATCCATTTATTTATTTACTATCTATTCAGTTATAGAGTCATTCACCGTTTTCAAGTTCCTTCAGTTTGCACAGAATTTTCTTTGAAGAATTACATTCGGCGATGAAGTACTGGCATAACATCTACTCATATCCACGCTTGTACAGCATAATTGGTGTTAATCAAAGAGGAAAAAAATCATATTTTATTTTTTCCCACAAAAATATGGTCATCAAGGAGGCCGATGAGGGGGACACTAACGGAGACCTTTCCCTACACAAATTTCTGTCCATTATATCCACCAAACCCGATAATTAATCAAAGGGGGTCTTGAGGTTCCTTTAAACTGTTGTAATTGAAAAGAATAAAAATATGATACATGTAACAACTTAATTACGGCTGAGTTAAAACAGGTACTTTAGGGTAAAATGGCTAGTATCGTCATGAGACACCTTGTGCAACAAAAACGGTCCAAAAGAATTACATCACTAACTACATTTAGAAATGCAATATCGCTAACCTATGCGTATACGTATCTCTCCTTGGGAAAATATTTTTAGAAAAACGATCCCTCGACAGACATGACATGTTAAAGAAATCTTTAAGAAACCCATCCTTAAATCATATCGAAAAGAGTAATACCCGTAAGACATATTAATAAAGCCTTCGCCACAAAGCTTAATGCTTTGCCTAAAAATTTTTCTTTGAGTTTGAAACCAAAGTTAGTATTCTTTATAATCCCAGTAACATAACTTTGTCGGGGACAAAACTCTAACATAACTCCATGGGAACTTGTAACTTACTATTGGAAAAACTCTGACCTCATTTCAGGATCACAAAGTGCAAAGATTCTTCAAGCTGTCGATGATCTCAAAGTTGCTCAAATAAAAGTCATATACGTTAAATTGGGAAATGTAACAAATCAAGATTTCTTAACGACTGCAAGAAAGAATTCTTTGGTGTTCAGCGAGAATGACATTGATGGGCTTTCAGGGGCGTTACTGGATACATGTGTTGAAATCTGCAGCAGTGGTATGTAAGGAGATTGTTTGGTTGCTTTAAGCAGTGGTATGTAAGGAGATTGTTTGGTTGCTTTAAGCTATTTTTCTTTTAGCCCAGAAAGTATGAACGAAACTGCCTGACTGACATAAAGCAGGGTTTGTGTTGAGATGAAAAAAATTGTTCATTGTCCATTACACTCACTGATTTCCCTCGGTTTCAAGGTTAAACGAATATGAATTTTCAAAACTTGTAGGCTAAAAAAAAGTTATGTTTAAACGAAACAGAGCAGAATCGAAAAAGGTAGATTTTCCGCCATTGGAGGTTATTATGCTTCTGCATGCGAGATAAGCCAAAATTCACCTATTTGCAAATTAATATTTCAAGGTTAAGACGTCACTTCTCAATCTCAATCTAGCTTTATGAATACAACTGGGCTGCAACATAGTCTGCTGATGCGCCAAACGTGTATTAAACTTCCCTTAACCGTTCTCCACGGGTGAAAGATGGACAAAATCGAGAGTATTAAATGGCTCTTCCTATAGAATTTCCTCGACAACTTTTTAATTATGATATAGTGAAATGCTGGTGTTTTAACTTTTCTAAGATGCTCTTTAGCTGCGCAAATAAAACAATTCTCAAATTCGATAAATTAAACTAAATTGTAACCTTTTTTCTGACATATTTTTTAAATGTTTGGTGATATTTTCTTCAAGAAAAGAGTACAAAACCAGTTACATTAGCAGCATCAGTACCACCCCTTGCACCTACACCTTCTCCTTGGCCTGCCACTCAACCTGCACCAGCTCCCTATCCTGCACCCATACAGCAGCCTCCTGTCCAATGTCCAATTCCAGGGTGCAGCTTTCCATTGGTTTGTGTCCAAGCTTCGATTTATGCGACTTGTGTTCCTCCTCCTAATCCATCAGCATCCACCAACAATTCATGTTCCACACCTGGCCCATGCCTAACAACAGTTACCAAGACAGCGACTGACACAAAAACTTTAGTATCAACCAGCACTCAAACAGAGACAAGTACAGCGATTGCTACCATAACTAACACGAAGACAACAACAAACACAGCACTGACCACACAGACTCACACACAGACAGATGTTGTCACCGCAACTTCAACCTTGACCACTACAAATACACAAGTAGCCACCAGCACCCATCACACCACAGAAACAAGCACAGCTGTAACAACAAGTCACCTGCCAGTAACCAGCACGAAGACTCTGACAGCTACAAGTACAAGGATAGTAAACACTACTGACACTCATACTTTAACTACTACAGATGTGATAAGAACAACAGCGACAAGTACAAACATTGTGACGAGAACTGCAAACAAAACTAACACACACACCTTGACAACAACTGAAACAGACACAGTGACTAGCACAGGAATTGCAACAAGCACTTTACTCACCACAGCCACTGCAACAAACACAGTTAATACCACTCATCTTGCGACAAAAACATTAACTGAAACTCTTACCACAGTAGCAACCCAAACTTCAACTTCAACGTATAATGCAACAAATGTTATTACTGCTACAACAACATCTACAGCCACAGCCACCAGTACTGCTGTTTTGACGGCAACAAGCACTGCTAAGACAACGGAAACACTGACGGCAACTAGTACAGCAATTTTGACCCAAACTTTGACCAATACTCACAACCAAACTTTAACACAAACTAAAACACTTACGGCAACTTCCACCAGAGTAGTAACCACTTGTAGCGCTAACTGCACCAAAATGGGTAAGTCAGTATTACATTTAACTAAGACATTTTTGATGAAAGAATGCTTATTTCACACATTTAAAGAGGAACGCCAACAAGGTCTCAAAAAACAGTTTGTGCCTGTTGCGTGTTTTCTGTGTGAGTAGATTGTATGTTCTTCAATCATGTCCTATGGACTGAATTCTTTGGACTCTAATTTTGTTGTCTATAACGTTTTTCAGAACCAACACCCAGTCTCCCAGGCAGCACACCTACAGTGTCCTCCTCAGTGACACCAAACCCAGCAACTCCAGGTACTGGTTTAACTACTTACTTACTTTTGGAAGCTAAACGTTTTACTGAAGATATAGAATTCAATGTAATTTTGGGAATAAACATATAATTTAAACAATATTACCTGCGTGTAACCGCTGATCCGTCAATTTAAGTAACGCTTATGGCTTTCCAACAGTTACCCACAGCTGAAATTTTTCCCAGTCGCCTTTTATTTAAGTTATCATGGCTCTTAATGCTTTTGATTGTGTAAAATAATCTGTACTTTTATTTTTTTTTCTCAGGCTGCACAGTAAATTACACCAAGTTAGGTTGTTTCAAAGATGACAGAAAGAAACCCCGCCCATTACCAGAGCTGCTTTTCACTGATCGCGACTCACGTAGCAAGGTCTTCAGCGGAAAGACCATAGATTGGAACAATTGGAACACGTATATGACTGATCTGGTTTGCCGATGCGCTGAGGCAGCTAAAGCAAAGAAGTACAACTATTTCAGCCTTCAGTACTTTGGTAACTAACCAATCGTAAAACTCAAGAAGTTTGACTGACCGTTAGCGACTTATCTGTGTCGTTTGTAAACCCAGAACAGTCAGAGTTCTTCATTATGAATTTGTTTTGTAGTTCCATGCATCAGAACCGTAGGCATTTCGCTCTTGGCAATACGTAACAGGTCTCTCAATTTTTCAGGCTACGTAATCCGCCATACCAACTTAAATGTTTTACTCATCAACGAGTTGTGAACTCAGTTAAATGTGATCGAGTCAGTAAACAAGACACCATTTACCTACTTAATTCATGAGAACTGCAACCTGATGACCCATTCGAACATGTGCGTGCATAAATTCCGACTCGGGATGTGGACTCATTGTCATGGTGGGATGAACAATTTGTCCTGAAAAAAAAAGATACTTTCACTCCAAAGATGGGATTCAACAACAAATTCACCTCACACCTGACCACTGGTTCTAGAAACAAACCCGGGCCCTAATAAAGGAAGCCAACTTTGTCATCCCTATAATAGAAATAATTTGAGTAAAACATAGAAGTTATCCATAAAAATTAGTTTCCTCATATGATTTAGAATATCTGTCAACATAATGAAAAACACATCGGCTCGCTGTATTTAAATGAACTGCAAGGAATAAAATACGTGAGGCTTACTACTGTTCATCTCCAATCTATCCAGGCGAGTGTTGGTCTGGACCGGAAGCTGGAGAGACATATAACCGGGCTGGAAGTTCTGATCAGTGTGTCACCAAAGGTTACGAAAAGTGTGATCCCAGCGACAAAGAAGAGTGTGTCGGCGATAAGAACGTCAATTTTGTTTATGGAATCGATGTTACAGGTACTTGAGTAAAATTTACAGCTTGTCATATATCGATACGGTGCCGGCATAATAGAATATATCATGTTCCAAAACACTTCTGCTACTCTGTGCTTTGTCTTCTTCAGAAATCACTTTTAGCCTCAGGAATTTCAAATTTGTTTATGCTCGAGCATATGCATGCTTTTTGTTAAAAGCTCGAGCTTTTCTTTATATTTAGTTATTTGTTACAAAGATCGATTGTGATCAAGTGGATTAAATTCCCTGTTTTTTACATCAAATAAAAATTTCACTTCGTCGACATTTATGCATCTATAATTGTAATGGAACCGAATAGAATCCATTGCGATCTGCAGTCGTACGAGTGATTGCAAAATTGAACGAACGCTTGGCGGGAGCCCGATTTGTCAAGTAAGAGTATGATTACATTCTGAATTTGACAATTACACTAATTAACTATGACCATTTCAAGTTCCGAAAGAAACAAATACAGTTATCTGAGAAAATGTCTCCGATATAGACAATGTCTTCCGATATAGGCAATGTCTAAAGTAAAAAATTATTCCATTTTGGAAATTCCCTGGTTTTGTTGGGTAAGTGGTTGTTGCTATGGTTATTGTAATCAATTCTGTGATTGGCGAGTTTAGCTGAGTGGACTTAATATGGGTGGCTGCTTTAACTGCCGATTACAAAAGTCCGATCAAAGCCAACTGTCCGAGTTCATTGTCTGATTAAAACTCGACAGAATAACTGGTGAAAAATATAGCAGCTAGTGCACTAATCATATTTGAGGAAATTGTAATAGATCTATATTGACACGAAATTTGCCCCTCGACCGACCAAAATTCCAAAGTCATTTTAGCACGGGTCTGCTATGAAATAAAGGCTTGTTAAGGTTGATGGAGAATTGAAGCGTCTAACCTTGTCACCTTGTGTTTTAATAAGTTGTCTTAACACTCCTTTGCATTTTATTGCGGCATATGATTTGCTCCACAGTACCCGTGACCACTCCACCTCGGACTGCCTCTCCCGCCCCACCGGTGACATTAGGTAGGTATGAATTACTTCCTTCAGGCAGTATCCAAACATTTTCATCAAAAGGAAAACAGGAAAAAATGAGCGATAACCAACTGATGACCGATAATCTTCATCTTTTTATTCTCATCAGCGATAACGCAATAAGCATTTGAATATGATTTCAACAAAAATATAATTACAATCGGTGGCCTCCGTTTTCGATTCCATCTCCTTGAGTGCAAAAATGTATTTTAGTTATGAAGAAGCACAGTAGTAGAAGGAGTGGTCACGACAAAAGGGGCATTTCTACCTAATGTGTATCATATATATGCCATTCTTGTTCCACAGTAACTGTGTCCACACCGACACAGCCTCCTTCTCCAACATCAGAAGTCAAACCCGGTAAGTCAAGAGTCACAATTCTATTACTCTACAGCTAACACCAAGCAAGATAGCTACAGTGAAAGCCTTTTAAAGTACAACTTCTGCCTAGATCATGAATAGTAACTGTATCGAATTACTTACAACCGCAAACAACATCTCAACAACAGTTTGTGCTTGCTGTGGGTTTTTTTTTGTGCGAGTAGAATGTGCTTGGCTTTCCAATCATCTTTCCAATCGACTGGCGTATTTGGAATTTAATTTCGTTATCTGCGACATAATGAAAGTGAAAACTCTTACTTCATTTTTTTCCAGAACCAACACCTAGTCGCCCAGCCACACCTACAGTGTCCTCCTCAGTGACCCCAAACCCAGCAACTCCGGGTACTGGTTTAACTTTTGACTTGTCTGTAGGAGCTAAAAGTTTAATTAGACATTTGAAAATCTACTCAGTTTTGCAATAATGGCTCTTCTTTTGAGGAGCATGATTTAAAAAATATTAAGCCTATGTTTTCCTTCGTGTTTGTATCCTGCAGATGACCACTGATCCATTAATTCTATGGTTTCCTGAAGCTGAAATTTTTGCCCAGTTGCCTTTTATTCTAGTTATCATGGCTCTCAATGCTTTTGATTATCTAAACAAACCTGTCCTTGTTCTTCTCTTTGCAGGCTGCACAGTGAATTACACCAAGTTAGGTTGTTTCAAAGATGACAGAAAGAAACCCCGCCCATTACCAGAGCTACTTTCCACTGATCGCGACTCACGTAGCAAGGTCTTCAGCGGAAAGACCATAGACTGGAACAATTGGGACACATATATGATTGGTTTGGTTTGCCGATGCGCTGAGGCAGCCAAAGCAAAGAAGTACAACTATTTCAGCCTTCAACACTTTGGTAACTATCCAATTATTAAATTATAGGAGGTGAAGTGTGAATACAGTTAAAACCCACATATAAGAACCTAGTTATTTCAATTTGGCCCCCATAGGTTCTTATAGAAATGGTGTTTACTATGAAATTAGGCTACCTAGGTATGAAATATACGAGGTTTCTTACTGTCCATCTCAATTCTATCCAGGCGAGTGTTGGTCTGGACCGGAAGCTGGAGAGACATATAACCGGGCTGGAAGTTCTGATCAGTGTGTCACCAAAGGTTACAAAGAATGCGATCCCAACGACAAAGAAGAGTGTGTCGGAGATAAGAACGTCAATTTTGTTTATGGAATCGATGTTACAGGTACTCGAGTAAAGTTTCATTAGCCAGTGTAAAGTATTGACACGAAGCCGTTATACTAACAGTATTGACTAGTATAAATTACTTCTTATCCTTTATGACGAAGTTTCTCGAGAATTAAACACTTTTATCCTTAGAACTTTCAAATTTGTAAAGAACAATGGTTCTTACGTTCGAGCTTAAAAGTATCATGATAAAACGCTAGCTTTTTTCATATTGCAGTGTTGATTTCAACATTTGATTTAATAATCGTTAATGAACAAATGAACCAAATACTCTGTGCGTTACTCAATAATAACTCAACCCGTCGGCAATGTTGCATTTCACAGGAAATTTACCCTTCAGCCACCCAAAATTAAAGGCTTGTTAATATTGGCTGCACAATTATCGCGTCTAACCTTGTTTCTGAGGAAGTTCGTGTTTTCAACCTGTTTCATTGGCACATCTTCAAAGTGGTACAGGTGAACTCAGACTCCCTCTCCTAACCCAGGTGTAACATCACGTGTGACATCTCGTGTGACATTAGGTGTGACATCACGTGTGACATCTCGTGTAACATCACGTGTGACATTAGGTGTGACATCACGTGTGACATCACGTGTGACATCACGTGTGACACCACGTGTGACATCTCGTGTGACATCTCGTGTGACATTAAGTGTATTGAGTCTCTTCCTTTCAGCAGCATCCAACATTTTCATTAAAAGATAAACGGGAGAAACTGATGCGATAACTAACTGATAACTGATAATCTCAACTGTTTTTTTCATCAGCAATAATGTAAAAGCATTTGAAATAGGAATTCAACAATAATTATAATTTATCAATTATCTGTGTTCGATTCCAACTTCTTGAACAGTGTTCTCTAGTTATGAAGCCCTACAATACCAGCAGGAGTGGTGAAAGTTAAAAGAACATTTTCGTTTGATGTACATCATAATTATGTTATTTCTTGTTCTACAGGAACAGTGACCACTCCCACAAAGCCTCCTACGCCGACACCACCAGCAGAACCCTGTAAGTCAGGATCACTATTGATATCCTCTCTCTCTCTCTAACTTCATTGTTCCGTAAAAACAAGTGAGGTAACCTCAGTGAAAACTGTATATTGTATAAATGTTGAACCCGCATCATGAATAGTGACTGCATCAAATGACTGATGACTAGACAATACTATGTCAAATGCTACCAGCTTAATCAAAACCAAAAAACCTACCTGAGAGGCAGCTTTCATTTTGAAATGTGATCCTTTTCCAATAAAGCAGCTTGGTTTATGTTGTCGCTGGCTCAGCTTAAAATAGCCATTTACTTGGTTTTCTCTCCATCAGCATGTGATCAAGCCTTGGATATCGGGGTCGTCATTGATTCGTCAGATAGCATAACATTGGAGGATTACAACCTTTGTTTGAAGTTTGTCGCCGATTTAGCCAAGCGTTTTAAAGTATCTGAACAGGAGACTCATTTCGGTGCTATAGTATTCAGTACAACACCTCAGCTTCAATTCAGTTTCGCAGACAAAGAATTTTACAAACTTAAACGCCTGAGGAAGAAGATAAGGAGCTTCCCTTATTTAGCAGAAGGAACTAGAACAGACTTGGCCCTTACGCTTGCTGACCTGGAGCTGTTTTCCGAGCAGGGAGGGGACCGGCTCGATAAGCCTGATGTTTTGATTGTTATTACTGATGGAAGAACCCACCCTGTGTTAAGCAAACCGTACCCAGAGGTTTTACAACCACTTCAGGTAAATAATCCAGTCTTCTGCAACACCTTTAAGGGAGTTTTCCTATGATTTTAACGCCATTAGTGTAACGAAAACGTGTGCCATCATATGTTCCGTGGTGTGTCAGTCAGAAGAATACATAAGGAAATTTTAGCTTCAAGAATGTTTCCTTTTACCCGATAGGCTAAGAATGTTAGAGTCATAGCTGTTGGTGTCGGAAAGGATGCGGATAGTAAAGAGTTAACAGCCATAGCCATGAATGATAAGAATCACGTGTTGAAGGTCGATCAGTACAAGGATCTAGTTAAAATTCTTGACATTATTTTAAAAGAATCGTGCCACAAAGGTAAGTTTGGCCCAAACCGATCATGTTGCGTTATGGTGTTTGATATTCTCTCTTTGGGATGAAGGAGATTCACGGGTATCGTGAAGAATGTTAGCAGGAGTGACGAGGAGAAAGCCTACCTTGTGATATATTAGTGAGTCCAAATCTCGCACTCGACATATTTGGTACCAAGCTCTATGGATTTCGCATATTCCATGTTTGCACCTTTTTCCTACCACAGAAAAAAAGCACTTTCTTAATTCCATTTTGATCTTGGATGTGCTTTAAACTTGGCTTAAATAAGAATTGATATAATATGAGGATTTTTGTTATTACCCACAGCCACACCTCCTACCGCCATTACAACACCTCCTCCGTCCCCTGCGATGGCTGCTAACCTTCGTAAGTTGTATTAGACGGATAACCATCTGCTTTGTAAGCAAACTTATGCATTACTTATGATCTAGTATTAGTCAAATATAATACAATTGACCAAAAAAGTTCCGTGTTTCCTTTTCTTCCAGGTAAATGTAACATCGAGTACCAAAAGCTTGGCTGCTTCGTCGATAAGCAGCCTAAGACTAGCACACTTGCTCTACCTGAAAAGATGTTGAAGGAAGTCGTCAACTGGGATCAGTGGAATGTTTGGCTTCCAGATTTTGTGTGCAGATGCGCCAATTTAGTTTATGAGAACAACTATAATGTGTTTGGGATTCACCTTTTCGGTATGTTCACCCGTTTCCTCTTTAAAACCATTAAATCTGACCAAAATCTCTAGTAATCTAATGGCTTTAGACATTATCACGGCCACAGAAAAAAGTAATTGAAAAAAAAAAAAGAAAAGCCATTTGACTCTCTTAAACCTGTGGTAACTTTCTAGGAGAGTGCTGGTCCGGTGTCAAGGCTGGTGATACTTATAATATGTATGGTACAGCAGAGGAATGTTTAGACACCAACCAACAGCAGTGTGGCGTTCAATCAGTCAGAGAGTGCTCAGGAGACCAGAATTCCAACTTCGTCTATCGCATCATCATCTCCCAAGGTTGGTTTTGGTAGAAATTCTGAATTGTTTCCGGTGGGCTTCGAGTGATTTTTTTTAGCACCGTCGTTTGTTATCGTTATAAGAAGAGATTCCTTCTCAGTGCTTCATGATTACCCGACACAATTCTATTGTTCTATTGTCGTTTTGGCGGTTCACGGTATTTTACTCTTTGCAAGCCGGTCTAACATTGCCAACTTCCAAAAGTAGAATGCAAAGACTAAGCTCATCCTTGTTTTCTCAACAGGGGCACAAGTAGAACCCTCTCCTGTTCCTGAAACAGCAAAAAAGAGACATGGATTGAAGGGTAAGATTTTTTGTCCCTTTTATTGATATCAACTCAAATGTGAAAAAAAGAATCTAAAAAATTTCGTTACGGGGTGTAAACCCATAATAAAACCCATAATAAAGAGCTAAAAGGAGATGCAATATTTTTTTGTTACAGAGAACTGTCTGGTGGACTTCATCAAGAGAGGTTGTGTTAACGACTTGCAAAGTCGGAGGCCTTTGCCGCAATTGATGTTCACAGATCTTGACATTAACAACGCTAAGTTCAGCGGTTTCCCAGTGGACTGGGGAAGCTGGAATAGTTATATGGATGATGTTGTTTGTCGGTGTGCCGAGATTTCGCGATCAAAAGGTTTTGATTATTTTGGACTGGGAAATTTTGGTGAGTCTCTGTAATGTAACGACGTGTCCTTGTAGCTGGCCTGACTGAGGCAGAGTTAAGCGTGGACGAGTAATTGTATTAAGGTTCTATTTCTCATTTATCATGATTGTGAGTGGCACCATGTTAAATATCATCAAGTTCTTGTCATTTCAAGTCATTACTTGTTCAGATCTTTACTGCCTCATTTGGAGTCAATTCAATTTTTCTTTGTCTTTTAAATTCTATTTACATTAATGTGACAGGTGAATGTTGGTCAGGGAAAGGTGCTCAAAAGACATATGACAAAGAAAACACTTCTCCATTCTGCATTACAAAAGAATTTGCTGAATGTAATGCAGAAGATGAACATGTTTGCAGTGGAAACAAAACTACTGCGTTTATCTACAGTGTGAAAGAGAATCACAACCCCAAGAAAGGTATTCATGGAAACATACACGAGATTGAGTGATGAGTCATTAGTCACATTCTGTTTACTAATTTTCTGCATCCTAAAGTACTGATGAAAGAAATGTTATTTTCACCTGCGGATGATATTCAAGAAATACTCCTCGAGGGTAGGCGGTTTATACTCGGACGGAATTTGACCGCAACTTGCTCTTGCCTCTTCCTCTGCATTAGGTATTACTTTGTGGCTCATGGCCTTAATATAAAAATTTTGAAATAGAGAATATCCTCCTCGATAACGTAACTAAATTTTCAGCAAATGTTTTCTTGTTAACCTTATCTCTAAAATCCGTCCTCAGTGTTTTGGAATTTTTTGTTTTTTAGAGAAGGATTGCTTCACCCAATTTCAAAATGTCGGGTGTTACGAAGACAAGCAAATCAGTCCTCGTCCAATACCAGAACTTATTTTTACCGATATGGATATTAATTCACCAAAATACAGCGGCAAAAAAGTGCAGCTGGGGGAATTGGACACCTATATTGACGACGTTCTCTGCCGGTGCGCTGAACGTTCCCAGAAGCTTGGTTACGAGTACTTTGGAGTGCAGAATCACGGTGAAGAATTTTATCTTGGTGTTAAATTTATTACGATGATTTTGGTGACGGTAAACGTCGGTCTTACACAGGTTGTTGATTATTCATCTCACTTTCAGCGAATAATCTTTGCGAACCGATAGCATGTTTTAGCGTAATTTTGCAAAATCTCTTTTGAGCAACTATATTTTCTTCCCGTTAATTCTGATTTAAACAACAAAAGTAATTTCCTTGTAAACTGATTTGTCTCGGTTTTTAATATTTAAGAGGAATCAGAAAGTGGAAGGATTATTATGGAACGTTATATTTTTTGTAGGTGAGTGTTTTTCCGGAAACAATGTTGAGCAAAGCTACAGCAAGGATGGTTCATCAAAGCAATGTATCACAAGAGACTTCCAGCAGTGCCCAGAAATAAAACCTAGCAGCAAAGAGACTCAGCAAGACTGTATCGGAGTGCAAGGCTCTAACTATGTTTACCGCATCAGAAATTTGGCGAAAGAAAGCAAAATGGACGCTGAGAAGTTGCATCTAGGAAAGTGACATGACTTTCGATTACGTAGTAGCGGACTCCAAGAATATTGTGATATCTGCTAGAGTTCCAGTTCAATTATTTATCGAATCGTTTGCCGCCGTTCAGAAGAACTCAATTCGATATTTCTGGTCATTTGTAGTCTGCGCAAATTTCCTATTAGCCTTCTGTATATTCAGTGCTTAACGAAACGAAAGTTTCTCTTTTCAATTAACTAAGAGTCAAAATACCTCACACCGAATGGCACGCTTAAATGAACTTATGTCGGATTTTGACAATTTTTTATCACGCGTCTTTCAACACGCTGTGAACTAGGTATAATGAGGACCATTTTCGACCCATAGTTCACGGAATTTACCTGACATATCAATATAAAGTTTTTGTCGGCACGGAGTGTCGAGTGCTCGCAACGATCACTATGCACCACATCAAAATTCACTCAAGATTGATTTTCTACAACTCTAAAATCACCAGACAGGTGCGCAGCTGAGCAGAACTGGTAACATTGAATAACATCTTTTCCCCTATTTATTGGTCGGGGAAATTCCATTTAAATGTGAGATTCATAATCGTGATTTGTTACAAATGTTTTAAACCGGAAATTGCAGAATCAAGTTCTTGTGTACGTCATTCTGTTTAGAGTAATTCTTTTTTGGACCTTTACAGATTGAAAAATGAAAAACATTTTTCATTGTCTCCTTGGATAACCAGTCAGGGGGGACTCCCAGTTTCTAGGGGTAGAAGTACCATAGCTGCTATTACCGTCGGTCATGCGTGTGCCAGGGCTAAAAACTGCAACGCAAATATAGTCTCGTCGGACTTTAAAAGGGAACTATACTCCTTCAAGAGAGGATAGAGAGACTCTTTATAATGTAAAACGTAGAACTTCCGGGTGACCGCCGGAAAAAGGAGAAGAGTGTCTGCAAATGTCATAAACCATTCTGAATCGATCGAGATGATTGCCATGAAGGGTTCAGATGTACAAAAAATTACAATAAATTTACATAATTAAGCGTATTACTGAGAAACGACTCTTTCACTGACTCTGAGGTAAATAATTGTATACTTATCGTACCAAATGACCAAACGAACCAAAAAGTTTGTGTTTTTGCCAGACACTAAACTGCACGATTTTCATGGGCAGTTTAATCGTTTAACCTCTCTGGGTTTTCCTTCAAATTGTGTTTGAATCGAGTTTTGAAAAAATACTGCAAACATCAATTGTTTTTTATTGCACCTCTATGGTGCTTTTCAGCAATTTGTAAAATTTGATTTGTCGCCTGTCTTACAATTGTCTTTTCACAGACATAGAAATATCAGCCAATTTCTTTAAGTTCATAGGAACTTGACTTTTTTTTAAAAGAGCTGTCAGAAGCCCACTGATGGCTTGACCATTGACCATTAACCCTTTAACTCCCAAGATCTCTTACTTACTGTCTGCCATACAGTTCTTGTGATATTAGTTTGGAGAATTTGGAATTGGATCAACTTATAATCCCCTTACTGACATTTTTCTTTTATTCTCATCACTTGTCTGCTTGGTATTATATTGATATTGTAAGGAGAAATTCTGTCTTGGTCACTCATGGGAGTTAAAGGGTTAAGAGAAAATGAAACAATCCCTTTGTGAGAAAAGAGTCGCGGTTTATAAGTCACCCGCCTGACTTATGAGCATACTTAAATAGGCTCAATTACTGCTAACTAAACCAATAATTCAACTAATAGAAAACTGCAAACAAGATTTTCCTACCTATCACTGTTCAAAGTCCTCTCGGCCCATCTAAAAACTGTTTGGAACAAATAGCATCAGCATGTCTAGACGCAAGTCCATGATGTAATAAACTAAAAGCAAAATCTCATGTTTCAATCATTACATTGGCTCTGATCGACTCAGCAAGCAGGTGAATCAAGGCATGTGGTTAAATCATGGAAATTTGTGTGGGTGGAACTGGTCAAATCCGGTCTACCAGCATTCTTGGCGATTGGCAACAGTTGGCAATAAATGCGAGTGAATGAAAAGAATATTGCAAACAAAGACAAGCAGCGCGTAAGGATCATACAAAAAAACATAATAATTTTGTCTTTTTTCTTAATTGGCCTCGTTATGAACGATAGAAACCGAATAGACATGCAAGAATTCTGACGTCATGAGATCAATTGGCGTTAAATGGAAAGACTCTCCCCTGGTGAGCTAATTAATGGTTATTTGTTACCTGCAGGAATCTTTACCAAAATCCTTAAGGGAACACAACTTTTCGATTTATAGCATGGAGAAAATTTTCTACTATATCCATGTTGCTTGCCTTCTTTCATCTCTTCTGTGGAACGTCAAGGGCGCGTATTATTTAAAACCGACAGGTAAGTGTAGGAAAACATTCCCGGTCGAGGCAACAGGACTAAATAACCAGAAAGATGGCAACAAACATGAGTAAACATGACTGGTGACCCGTTAAAATAAGGATGAACCATTCTAGATTGTTGTTTTGTACCCTGCGTTCGATCGAAAGAATCTCTTTAAGGAAATCGAAAGCAAGTTTTACTGCACTGCGGATATTAATTCATCAGCATATATCACGTTTTTCACCTCGCGTGCACTGTTATCCCCGTTTGCTTGTTTACCCGCTTCAGCCAATGAATACGTTGAAAAATCACAGTATTTACATCGAAGGGGAACACACTGATGAGCTTAATAGCTTATTGTTTACTTTTTTTTAGGGAACCTCCTTAAAATGATACATTTATTTATTCAAGATTCTTTTGAACTAAGGCTTTAGTGGAAGAAATGAAAAAAATGACCTGTAATACCACTGGTAACTGTCTCGTCATTTTAAATAACAATATGTTATGGTTTACATCAAGAGATCTTTTGCTCGCACTCATTTTTATAACGTTCGCTTGTAGAGGCAACCAGACAAAGTTGAAATCTGTGAAACCTGGAAGTACAAACACATCGGACACATAACAAGATCAACATAATTCGGGGCCACTGTAGAATAAAATTAAAATCTTTAAAAGGTGTTAACCGTAGGTTTTCAAAGAAAGAGCTAAACGGAACTGTCTCTTGTGCATTCCTGGTCCCGCATTATAAATTCTTCATAAGTCAATTTGCCTTAACAAATGAGTTCAGATCTTTCGAGATGCAGATACCTTGGTATTTCCCTCGGTTTGTAAACTGTCTGAGCGAATCTGATGAACACGATCATATTGCTTTTCCTTTCAGCGTCATAACGTGACAATTTCTTTGATTGAAGGTCGATTTGAGATTACAGAGATACCCTTACCATCGTCAGTTATTGAACAAATAAACGGAACCAACGTGTCAGTCACACCCAACCCAGGCCAAATAAATGCCACTGGTGTTCGTATCGTTACAGTGACAAGAATTTCAAATACATCTCAAGTACCAAAACCAGGTAAATTTGTCACATGAGGCCACAAAGTGCCTCTAAGTATTTCTGTTTTGATTGCTCGTCGTAGAAAAAAAAAATCCGAACCCATGTACTAGTTTCGTTCAATTAAACGAACAGACTTAAATACTGTCATTAACAAGGACACTTCCAACTATTAAGTGTAAATCAACAATAAAGTTCTACTCTTCTGAAAACCTTGCAAATAGATAGATGAAAAATCCTCCCTTCCGTTGTTCAGTTCAAGAATGTTAACATAACGACATACTCATGCATACTGTATTTTTCAGCTGGATCACAGCAACCATGCCCAACTACACCCGTGTGTTCTTGTCCATGTCAAAAACCTCCAATGAGTGGTAAACCACCGAGTCTTCAACCCCTTCCCCCCAAAAATGATAGCATTAACACTTGGTGCACCTCAGTGTGTATTTGCCTTTGTATCGGTGGTTCTCCTGTGCCCATCCAGCCTCCCACTGAATCTACAAGTAAAGCGAACGTGGCTACTCTTAACCTGGTGGTCACCAGTCCCTTGTCAAACCGGATAACTACAGCAGTACCTTCCAGCACTCCAACGATCATAAATAAGTCCAGATCAACCTCCATTACCTGCCCTGAAACTGCAGGTACCTGCATATGCCTGTCTGTTTCTGTTTTTACGATTCTTCCGTCAAATATGTTTTTCTTGAAATGTTTCCCTTTTGCTGAATCAGTTCCTGATCATTTTACTGACAGTTTTTTCTCCTTCGTTCTCAGTTTGTTCCACTTCCGAAACTCACCTAAGCTCGTCCAGAACAAGTAAGAACCTTTAGCTCGATATTTTTCATAGCTTCCCGTATGAAGGCAAACCTGTGTTTCCTTCATGGTCATTCACTGTTAAATAATAGACACATCACGTTAAAGTAAACAAGACTGCTTTGATTAGTTCAAATGTGTGACTCTAGTTATGTACTCGATCGTCTTAAATACTGATGACCCTGAAGACCAATGTACTAGTTTGGCTTGACGAAAATATCTTCAAAACATCTGAAATGTTTGCAAGAAGTGATGAACAACGTATCTTGAAGGAGAAGCTAAGTTTTAAATGATACGACAAATTAAAAACTGCAACTCCGGCATACGTTTTTGCTTATCGAGAAAAGGGATGAAATGTATGGTTCTGTGATAAATAAATTTAACCGGTAACCTCAGGGTTATGTACTCCAGCTCTTCGTGCAAGCTTTATCTCCAACTTTAACAGACGTTGATTTTCGAAAAAATCCTCTCTTACAGGTCAAAGTAGACTCAGTGTGACACTCAGTCCAACCCTCACACAACCGATGCTCCCTGTTCACAAAGGTAAATCTTCCAATTAACAAAATATATGTAGGAGTAAATCTATATATTAACATGTACTGAGAATTTGTCATGGTTCATTCGGTTCGACAAACAAGTTTTTCATTTGCAGGCTTGAATGCCACCTCGGCCCTCCTGAATGAAACTCTAGCGTATGGCTTCACATCCGACTGGGTTTTTTTTATAATCCATATTTGACATAATTATCATGCATTTCCGTGAAATTCTTTTTTCTATTGAGGTCACCTTTTGATTTTCATTGCACGGGGAACAAATCCTATCAATGGTCAATCCAGGTGATATCTCATGCTATATTTATATTGTCTAACATTTGGACTGTCCTTACAGGCTCCCAAGAAAACTAAAAGTCACCAATGTGCTCCTTAAAAGGTGTGGTATGATTCTACTGATTAACAATAAGGCAGCAGCTTGGTCTTAAAGCGACCCATTGTGAGAGACGTCATTGGGTTGTTGCATAATGGGTAACATTCGACTTTTTTCTTTCAATTGCTAGCAGACATTTAGAACCCTCCAAACAGCCCCTCAGGTGTATTAGCGGTCTTGACTTAAGTTCCCGCATGGAAATTCTCGGCTAAGGTCAAGGCAAAGCTCCGACCAAATTTTATCTAAATCTTGATTGCGCTTGCAATAATCTTGCGCTTATGTTCACTTATTTATTCATCTATCAGTGTTTTTGCCGTCTGAAACATGTCGGCAGTAGCAAGCGTATCGCATGCTGTGGTGCATAGATCCCAACTTGAGGGCAAATAGAAACCACCATGATTCAAGGAATAAAACAAACGGTCAATGACTGGCTGAACACAGGTTTTAAGATTCAGTTGGTACTTGTAACATACACTAATAATTAACACTTTACTTCCAAATGTATAAATCTCTAAGGTCTTTTGTAGTTGATGAAACCAAGGTTATGGAGGCAGATGATAGAGACAAGATGCTTTTTTCAAGCTGTAAAATAATTTAGTTTTCCTATCGATTACCAATTCAAGGATAAATACTTAAAATGAAACACTATAATTGTAAAAAAGGTGCATCACACTAGCAGAAACATACTGTTAATTAATTTTCACTGGTATCCAAAGGCACTCAGTGTAAGTTTTTATCATTGTATGATTTGTTAAGGTGTTTAATTAAACGTGCATTTGGGAAGGAAGTACATGTACGCTAAAAAAAGTGAATAAAAAATAACAGAACTGAGAATCCTAACTTGTATTAAACAACGTAGCATACTTGTATATTTAAGTATCTATGGTAAGTCAAAACAGTGGACATACAGGTAATCGTTCAAGGAAGGTATCATGTGAGTGCATGTTCATTAAATTTCATTGCTCCAACCGAGAGGAATATATCTGCACTTTGGATGAGTTTTCAAGACTTTAATCTATACCGCCTGGAAGCAGATAATAGAGTTTACATTACATAAAGCTTCAAAAAGGTTTTTTGACCGAATTATGAATAAAACAGTGCTGAATGTAAAAAATTCTGTCAACAGAGAAAAATTTCTTTCAACACTACCTTTAAGTACGGGCCATACTTTGAAATTTAAACATATCATAGATGTTGACATCTAAATCCTCACGAATATCAGTGTGGCTCATATCTCGAAAACCAGTTTATTTTGTTTCGTTTCCCAGTACTTTAATCGATAAAATTTCAGTACTCTCGAAAGTGAACACCGGAAACAAAAAGTACTTTTTTGGACCAGGAGACGAAAAGCGGGTCCCAGCAGACAATCTTAGTTGCATTCCTTAACATGATCAGAAACACTATTAACGTAGGACATTACCGGCATAAATGTAACGAAACACCTTAGTCTGCATGGGGATATGTTTGCGCATAATATTTGTGCATTATTTTTGAGCATAATGTGATACTTTATTTCATTTACGTTTTGTCGAATTATTCAAATTTGTGTGAAGAAAATTATTTTGATAAGATAAAGCCATTTAAATAATTATTATTATATCTATTTTATCGATATCACTTAGCTATTTGTTATGTATTTGTAGATCTCTCTCGACTTGCTGAGTGAATATCAATAAAGTTACCGTTGTCCCTTACGAACTGTTTAAAACTCAACGCAATAGGCTTGTTTCAACTTTTGACCGTTTTTTTCAGTTTGCACGTATTAAAACGCGCTTTTCAAGTTCGTTTATTCAGTCGCTGGTATCATCTAACGTTCATGGCTTAGACGTGAAATGATAGTCGATTTTCTGGTCGAGTTTTGTCGCATGCTACCGAAAATATGCCTCTACCACGTAGTGGCATTTATCGTATAAGTACCACAATAACTGAGCCAGCAATAACTTCAGTGAGAGATTTCGCCGCTAACCCTCGGTGGAGATCAAGTAACCACACGCTGACTGGAAATTTAAATGTCAAAATATCTCTTCTATCAGCCAAATGGGGAAAGAAAAAAAAAAAACGTGGTAAAAAAATCAAGGTTTCATTCTGGGGTAATCTAATTTCTTTCGACGTCCTTATTTGTGCCCGAGCACCAAATTGAAAAGCTGGATTTATTACAAAATACCTCCTGTTTCTTTAAATTCTCTTGCGATAGATACATGTATTTTGCTCATTTTACAAAGTAAGTAATGGTCGGGAAAGTTTAAGTGGCTCAAAAGTCGTGTAATTAACAAAACAAACGTCCATAATGATTGTTCCGACAGGCCTTAGGAATTTCCATTACAAAGGTTAAAGATAAATTGTCCACCACTGAACGCCTGTCAACAGTAGACTGGCTAACCGAGTTATTCCTTTATGCTACTTGTAGCGAACTTTTCATTACTACTGATTTCGTAGCGAGTCGAAAATAAACCGATTGTAGAATACATTTATTACTGTATCTATTCAAAAACTTCATTTTTGGCGAGGAGATAACCTACAATAGAGATTTCATACTTTTTTTAAAGTGATTTTTTTTTCTAAACATGACATCATTTTTGAGGAATTAAACAAAGTTCCCACTTTGATAAATGCCAGATGCAGCCAGGGTTTCTGGACGCTGTAACCTCTAATTAGGATGTGTACTGAAATGTTATCTCTTTCATTAAAAGAGCAAATAAAGAAATCAGTGGCTCTTTGATCAGCTTCCGTGATACTAATATGAATCATTTGACTTCTGATCAAACATAGCTAATTAAAAAGATAAATAACAAGAACTAAGATCACTCAACATGTTTAGACTTAAATTCTTCTCGGATATCACAATTCTACATACTTCATTGATTGTCCGTTAATTTCACACCATTTGAAGTCAAATATTCACTCCTAGGAACAGTAAAAGGACTTAAGTATTGCAGATAAAAACAAAATGTGGGCGAAAATCTGTTCAAGCGAGTACGTTTAATTTGACAACTGTTGCGGGTGGTTCATCTGTAAAAAGTCACCATTCGTTGTTTGGAAATCACAAGCGAGGAAAAGGATTAAAGAACACTAAATTATGGATGAACTATGTCATTGTTTATGGACATGGATGAGTCAAGGAGTTAATACTTCGTGTTAAGCACTTCCCCGTTGTTGGAAAGGGAAATATGGCGATGGAGGGTGCCAGTATAACTTGGCTAGTTTTGATCGCATTAAGCCTCACCTCATGTCACTTTTCAAATGTGAACGGTAAGTTACTTAATAGCGATTAAATCAAAGTAAGAATATTTTTTCAGACAATCAGTATAAAGTCAATTTTATCTTACACTTTACCTGAACAATGAGTCGTTATTTAGGAAACGTTTGCTAAATAACCGCCCCACACTTGACATGTGTTAATCATTGTCTAAATTAAGTTGTAGTGTTTGCATAGGCTATGGGGCGTTGGTTTTTTTATTAAGATTTGTGTAGTTCTATTAGTAACGTGAGGTTGTTTAATTACCCAATTTACTGTAGAGAGGAAATGCAAATTTCTTTTAGAGGTTTAGCTGTCGGGAAATTATTCCAACTATTTGCAATAATTGATAGCAATGTGCAGAAACGATCTATTTTATCAAGAAATAGAATTTTTTTTATCAAAATATTGCAAAATCACATTTGAAATATGAAAAATTACTGTTTCCAAAAAATGAGACAGCTTTGTGAGTAAGGCACTCAACCAAAAATAAACGTTTAATGATAGTAGCATAGACCTCCTTTTGCTGTTTTGTGGTGAAAAGCTGAAATACAATAAATTACTTATATAATTTTATGCTGGGTTCATATGATTTTAAGACCAGGGCATTAACGCGTTTTGATGAGATCTCTTTTTTTTCGCTAAGTCTGGATAGCGAAAAAAAAAATTATTGTTGTGTTATTATGAGTTCACAAGGAAATTGCCTGACCATGAAAAAACTTATCGCGCTAAGAATGGCCTACCAGTAAGATATTCGTTTCCGCTTCGGTGACAATTATCCATCTGAAGTAAAGAATAGAGATCTCTGCAACTGAGGGAAACAGTCTTACTCGGGCAAACTGAACCAGCATATACTGCCGTAAATATGCGCTATGAAAAGCGTTACTACTCACAGTTAGATAGGCAGACATATGATCTCAGGCTTTATGGTGAATATAGGCTGTTGTATTCAATGTTTTGTTCAAACTATACGAGGTCCAAAATTAAAGATGCTTATTTTATAAATTTCAGAGCATTTACCTCGTTTTACCAACTTATATAATGCAGAACAAAATCTTTCGACTTCTTTCAGTTACAGGGATAATTTTTAGCGAAATCTGGTTCAAAACTAGCCCCTCCATATTATGATGTTATTTTTGTTGCCGTTTCACCAAACCAATCTCATATTTGAAACATGTAACGCTTTGTCAATTCAAACAATAACAAAAATTCACTTGTGCTGAGCTTTAAAAAAACATTTTTACGCCACCTTAAGATTTCTAGTTCTGTACAAAGTTTTCAATGGCAAGTCATGTTAATTCACGTTTGTACTCACGCTATTTTATTGACACAGGCTTTGAGTTTCCTCGGATCTTTAAGCGATATGCTGCTGCTCAGGCCCCGGCACCTGCCCCTGCCCCTGCTCCTGCCCCAGCTCCAGCGCCAGCCCCTGCCGCAGCAGGAGCAGCAGGTATGACGTACACTTGCGGATATTTACCACACATACTCTAAAGAAATGTGTCGAAGCAGCATGAACAGATTTGGGGAACTGTAAACAAACATACATAACTGAGCCGCGTATTTCCCACATAAATACGAAAACTACTTGCTAATCTTTTCAAACAAACATGAAAAAATAAAAAAGGCCACCCTCTGACTTTCAAGCAGACTACAAACATCAGCATTAATTTGGGATACTTGAAATGAAAGTTAAATTTAGTTTAATCGTATTATTATTCCTTTATTTCATATCAAGAGAAAAAATGTGAGAAGCCGCTGGACATTATATTCGTCCTTGATAGTTCTGAGAAGATTGGAAAAGAAAATTGGGAAAAAATAATTAATGCTTCCATCACCATCGCGTCCAAGTTCAGCTTGCAGCACACTCGATTTGGTGTGATTCAATACCAGTCATATCCAGAAACAGTCATCCAACTTGGAAATCCACCATTTACCGACGACAAGCAGTTGCAAGCCACCTTTGCCAAAATATTCTATAAGAGTGGTGGTAAGAGGACGGATCTTGCCCTTAACAGCACTTTGGATGTGTTTAAAGCGGCAAAGATACGTAGCGGTAGTAAGGTTGTGATTCTGATCACTGGGGGACCCTCTAGCGAGGTGTTTCTCGCTCCTGGAAAATCCATTTCTGGAGAGGATCTTCTGGGCATGCCAACGGCTCAGTTACACAAAGCGGAAGTTGCTGTGTATGCAGTTGGAGTTCAAGAAGGTCTTGCCGACGCTGATAAGAAAACCCTGACCAAACAGTTGGGAATTATTGCCAGCACACCAACTTCAGAACACGTTTTTGAATTAGCTGACTTTGCTACAGTGCTAAAGGATGCCCCGAAAATAGCCAACAAGTCCTGTATAGGTAAGTTTATCAGCAGTATTTCTATGATGCGTAGATAGGATGAGAGCGGAGATAAATTTTTAGCTCAGAGACGAGAGAGAGTAAGATGGTATTTTTTCCATGTCACGTGCGTGGGACAAATGTAAGATTACGATTCCCCATGCAGAATCGAACCTCAGACATTCGGATTCGAACGTAATAGCACTAGAGCGCGGAATCCGATTCTCCAGGTGGACTTAGGTTTCTTTGTACCACGCTCGAAACGAGGCAAACAAAATATATTTTTCTGATCGGTTTACTTTAGTGAAGTTTCCATCGTGTAAATTGGGTTTCCGTCGAGTAAATTGGGTTTCCGTCGAGTAAATTGGTTTGCTGGAAGCCCCTTCTGTGCTGATTTTGTGCGTTACCAACCTCATTTTAAAAATGTGTGGTCATCTGTTTTACCATTCTTCTTGCTATGTTAGTAATCAGTGGGATAATTACATCTTACTTGATGTCAACTTGGTGTT